TAAAAAAATACTTCCATAATTCGGGCCAGGCAGGAGAGGTTCTTTCACTCCATTGGTAGCTCCTCCTTCGACCCTGAAGGACAAAGAGACTTTGTGATAATCACTAGTACTGATATCACCCCTCGGTTGCCCCATCCTCATCTGATACTTATATATCTGCCCTAATTTTTAATTATGCTATATAGAAAGATCTAATCCCTACTGTCTTCAGACTGTCAACATCTGTCAGAGAAAGAGTTTTAGGCCCGTATCGTCAGTCGTCCCTACAATTTATTGTAGGGCGCCTTTATGGCCTCCTTGATTGTCATAGTTTTCTGCTTCTCCGTGTCAGAGCTCTATTTTGAGGTTATGTCACAAACATCTATTTGCATCACATTTTGCTTGCTTTTGAGTTATATCATGTTTTATCAGCCTGAAATTTCCTACAATTTAAAAAGAAAACATATCTTCACAATAGGAGGACGCTGACACGGGACAAGTGTTATCTAGAAATTTTTGAAGGAGAGAAAGGAGTATGACAATCAAGGAGGCCATAAACGCGCCATACAATTGTAGGGACGACTGACGATACGGGGTTTAAATCAGTACACTACATAACTATATTGACAAAATTCGAAACAATCCACTTTGTCGAAAATAGGGAAAGCCAGTGAAAATCTTATTAGTACCCAGTGAACATGATGACGTCAAAAGACGTCACTTTTGGTAGGAAACGTCATTGACGCCATTTTTATGACGACAAGACGTCTTTTAAAAGCCTTTCACTTTGACTTCTTTCTTAGGACAGACAATACTGAAAAACAACACTTACCTACAAAGCAAATATAGATTTTTAATCAACAGTAAGGTAAACCTGATATCCAAATACTAATAACTGTATTATTTATAAGGGGAATTCTTCAAACAAAAATATCTTGTTAAAATGACTTTTCTAATGATAGTATTCCAGATATTTCAAATTGCTATCTCACATCATGTTTTATTCCCCTAAATAAAAAATTTATTGGAAACACCTGTATAACAATAATCAAGTTTCAGGATATTTGTAATCAAGCGCGGCAAAAATTCAAATAAATTATGGAACGGTATATCATTCAGCCGATCATCAACGAACAAGCACGATTGTGCTTGGCGGTGAGCTCCACCCAGTGCTGCCACCTCTACCGATTTATCGGTAGATCTACCGATTTTAGAAGAGATCTACCGATTCTAATGAAAAATCTCCCGATTTTTTTTGTTTCTAAATATGCATATTTTTAAATTACAATAATATGTTTTACCCTCTAAGCTACTTATAAATATTCTGTAGTTTGCTTAAAACATCCCAGTTTATTCTTCTTTTCTTATATTTAGCGACATCTAGTGGTACACGTCCAAATCGTAAAATAAATACCGATAACTGATTTCTACAAAATACAATTTATTTGGTAATTCCCCGACGCGACTCGGGTATTCCCCTGGCTAACACCAGCAGGACGCGATAGTCGATACACGATTTATATTATTAATACTCTGTTGGTGTTGGCTGTTTAGAAGTATGTTGAAGAGTAGTGATTAAATTTATATTCTCTGATATAAATTTTGATTTTTTCTGGATTTTAATTTTTATTAAACAAATATGGATAGTGATAGTGACAGTGCTGACAGTGGAGGTGAAGGAACCAGTTACGGTTTAAAAAAGAAGATGAAATACAGTCAGTCCTACAAATCAGATTGGGAGAAAGAACCACGCTTCACAGGTTGGCTTATTAAAAGCCAAAAAGGGAAAAATTTTGGATTCTGCAAGGCATGCAATAAAGATATTAATATATCCAGTGGAAAGGACTCACTTATAAAACATACACAGCGAAAAATCCACGAACAAAATGTAAAATCTATCAAAAATCAACCGTCCATGACTAAATTTGTTACAGACACAAAAAAGAGGCAAAGGGCTCAAGACACCAAAGAAGGTATACTTACGTTTTTCTATTTGGTAATTCCCAATGATTGATGCACTTATGTGCAGTACCTGTTATAAAATGTAGTACAAGATTCATTACAATGCTCAAAATATATTTTCTATTGGATGTCGGAATGCTACTGGAAGCTCTCTTTCCTTCCTCCAGACCCATCACGTGACTTTCTCCACCTTTTGTCTTAAGGTGCATCCAGACTATATAACATGTTGTATAACACGTCCGCACTGTTCAACATTGTTGTATAAAATTGCATCATTTAACAATATGATATAGTACTACGTGCATCGATCATTGTAACATTATAATTGTGGCAAGGTTTTTTTATTCTATTCCATCATTTTTTAGCTGAGATACGGCTGGCGGCGTTTGTAGCTGAACATAATCTTCCATTTACCGTTATGGAGCATTTGCCTGATCTAATAAAAAATATATGTTCTGATTCCGAAATTGCTCGTGGTTTGGCTTCTAGCAGAACCAAAACAACGTCGATTGTAAAAAATGTAATTGGCCAGGAAGAATTTTTGAACGTTTGCGAAGATCTAAGGCAAAATAAGTTCTCATTAATAGTAGATGAATCGACGGATGTTAGCACCACTAAGCATCTTTGTTCCATAGTGAGGTATTGAAAAAATAATGTAATAAAAGACAATTTTTTTGCTCTATTACCTTTATCAAATGCTGATGCAAAAACTTTATATAACGTTGTTATAGACCTTTTTAAAACTAACAATATTCTGTATAAAAATAATTTAATTGGATTTTCTGCGGATGGGGCTAATGTCATGATGGGCAAAACTAATTCATTAATGGTACTTTTAAAGAAAGATATTCCTTTTTTGTTTGTGATGAAGTGCATATGCCATTCATTCCACCTTTGCGCTTCTTACGCTTCACAAAAAATACCAAGGTTTGTCGAGGGTCTTGTGAGGGATATTCATAATTATTTTAATTCTAGCCCAAAAAGAACTTCAGAATTCCGTGACTTTCAGGCTTTTTGTAACATAAAAACACATAAAATTCTGCACCCATCACAGACTAGATGGCTTTCTGTTCAAAGTGTAGTAAGTCGTATTTTAGAACAATACAATCCATTAAAATTATACTTTACTGACGCTGTTTTCCAAAATGATGTTTTAGCTACGAATCAAATTTTGAAAAGGTTAAACGACCCTACTACTCTCTTATTTTTGCAATTTTTAGATTTTGCTTTGCCTTTTTTCAATAATTTAAATAAGGATATGCAAGCAGAGAGCCCAAGAATACATGTTATATATAAAAACATATCCACTGTTTTAAAAACCATGTTTGATTGTTATTTAAACCGCGATTATTTAACATCAACATCTCTAGAGAATATTGACTACAAAAATCCCAGAAATTACTTACCAATAGAAAATGTTTATTTTGGAGCTAATGTGGCAAAAACATTATCAGAAATTACAATATCCAGCGAGCAAATACATTTTTTTAGGCTTAGATGTTTAGAGTTTTATATTGAAAGTTGTGATCAAATCCTTACTCGTTTCCCGCTTAAAAATAATCCAATTAAATTGTTTAGTTTTCTCGATCCCGTAAATGTCAAAACAGGAGTTATACCTTCTATTTCAGATGTGGCCAGGATTTTTCCAAACTTAATTAAGGAAGAAGCGCTTCAATCACTTGATAACGAATGGCGTCTTTTGCGTAATACCGATATTGTAAAATTATCTAATCAAGTCGAGACATTCTGGCAGGAAGTAAGTGAATATCGCTTAGGTGACGATACGCCTTTGTTTCCAATTTTAAGCCAATTCGCTTTTAATATATTGTGTTTACCCCATTCTTCCGCCAATGTTGAAAGAAGGTTCTCAGAAATTAACCTAATGAAAACGAAACAAAGAAATTCTTTAAATACAAAGACAATTACGGGATTAGTACATACTAAACAGTACTTAGGTAATAATAAGTGTTTCAATTTTAAAATAAGCAAAGAACTTATTTTAAAAATGGATAATAAAACACTAAAAGGTATTGAAGAGAGTGAAAATGACTAAACAACTTAATAATTATCGATTTATATTGTTCTGTTGTTCTTGTTTTATTACGTTAACAATGTATATTTAGATTCTTTGTGTACTTCTGATACCCGAAACTGATCAGTAATGAATAAAATATATTTATTCATAAAGTATTTGTTTTTCATTGCTTCATAAAGTATTTGTTTTCCATTGCTCAAATACCTAAAAAAAAATTGAAGAAAAACTGCTGATTAGATATATAAAAAAAAATTCGTAGAAAAAGCTTGCTTATTGCTTAACCTCATTTTTTATCTGTTAAAAGCGTTCTAGGGGAAGCCTATGGCGCAACCGGCTATCTACCGATTTTAAACCGAAACCTACCGATTTATTTTTTGAGATCTACCGACATTGGTGGGTAGAAGCGTGGCAGCACTGGCTCCACCGATGTCCAAGCTCCATGCGTGTTCGCCGTTTGGCAACTGTTCGGCCATTTTATTTTATTAATCTTTGGTTCGGCCGACATCACGATATCTTCGTCGTTTTTAACGCATATTGTGGTGCAATGTAGTAGGGACGATAGTATTGCCACATAGAGTCAATAAGGCTTAGGTGACATCCAGGAAACAAGAGGTGTGTGGGCCTCCTGTGAAAAGGCAAAGCGATTTTGATAAATTGCTACAAATAAATTCTAAACCATCAGAGGACTGGAACATCGTTGGGATTGAGATTTTTTTTCGTTCTATATTAACCACTTCGATACACTTTTACAAATGCTGAACTCGCTGCTTGTGGGGCGTCGTTGTCACATCCTAAATATTTCACAAGCATTTGGATACACCGCATACCGACTGTACGTAATATCGCCTTTATATTTGTTTTTTTATACAACATACTATGACGTCAATTGGGTGTAGCATTACACCGTCATAACGACGTCTTTTTGTTGGTCGGCGTATGTCACTATGTTCACTGGGTAATGGTATTCACACAATCATCATGAAATGCTTTACTTAAAGCATATTATGTTTTCAGCCCTAAAAAAATGAGTGACGAAATAATTGGTTTGGGAAAGGATGACATGCTTGCGCTAAAGTGTGCAAACTGCGAACTATACCTCTCTGTTCCTCCTATAACTATGAATGAGGGCGAGTACTACTGTGGCAGGTGTAACATTCAAGGTACCAGGATCGAAATTTATGAAGAACTAGCTTCACACATATTATTCCCATGTGTCAATGAAACATGCACGCGTCTACTGTCATGGGGAAATGTTGCAAACCATGAAACCAATTGTCCCCATAAACTGATTTGTTGTCCATTTGTCAATTGCATAGATGTTTACGAAGCAAATGAAATATTGGTTCACTTTGAAGATTACCACGAAAATCATTTATATTTTGAAAATGAAATTTGTTTTTTCAGAAGGTTCCGAAATCTGGAATTTCATAAATTTACAGTTGACAAAAGGGCTTATGCACTAAGCTGGGGTGATTTGAAGTATGTTGTTATGGTCTATATGGATGCTAAAGAACATCGAAGGTATGATTCCATTGACAAATACAATTTCTCATTCGGGGTGTATTGTGTACAAGGAAGGACCACAAAGAATCATTATAATGTGGAATTGACAGTCTCGTGGGACTCAGGGGATGTACAACATTATTTGATGGAATATCAGTCTATATTGGAATTTAAAAATGATTACTGTTTGAATTGTATTCAAGGCAACTGTTCCGCAGAAATTCATAACAATAATAAACAAAACTTTTTACCTACAAAATTCCACAATTTAAAGAATGAATATGATGATATGGAATTAGAAGTTCTTATATATATTGAAGAAGATGAATAATAATTATCACTCTAGTAAAACTATAGTGTTATGCCAATGATCTGTTGAATAAGTACATCAAAATTATTACTTTAAAAAGTAAGAGACATTCCTCTTGAAATACTGATTTTTCAGTTACACCACATTCTCAAGCACCATTTAATTTTGAAGACAGTTGTATGTTTGCAGTTTTAATAGGATTTGAAGAATATTCCTGTTAATTTTTGTTGTTCTGGACAATTGCAAAAAACATTTGGACATTACATAATGAAGCATTTCACTATTTTCTTCGAACACATTTTATAAAATGTGCAAGTTATATATTTGTTTTTTGTTTTTATTCATTGTGGATAGTATAATTCAGATATCACACTGCAATTTTATGTTCATTTTTTTCTAGATTATATTGAATCTATAATATTGTTAATAAGTTCATATGTTTGTTTTTTATTTTTTAAAACTTAGGCCTCACATTTTTAGCATTTTATGTTGATTTTGTGTTACATTTGCATGTATGTTCCATAATAAAGTATCTAAATATCAATGAAACTCCTTCTTCTTGCAACAGTTGGAAGTTTGGTCTATATTCGCAAGGGCACTGCTAACTAAAGCTGTTATTCTCACACCTTCTCGGATAAGGATTTGATTTGTGGAAAAAACAAGGGATTATTTTATGTTTGCATAGCAGACAGAAACTTGAACATAACCTCGAGCTCAGTTTTTTTTTTGAAAAACGCTCAGACTCGTCGATTTTGTTTTCGAGGGGGACATAAGTTTGGCAAAAAATCACGTTAACACGTGCAGCCCCCTGGGCGGGGGACAAGATTTCTTGATTTAAAGCTTAAAGTAAACTTTAAGATGTACATCAGATTAGGTTATACTACTTTCAGAAGAAATTTGACTAAAAGAATTTACTTAATAAGTAAATGCTTTTCTTCACTACGCCCATGGTTTGTTTATCATTTTGTTGTTGAAAACAGCTATTGGAGCGTTTTTTTGTGGCAAAAAAGTTTTTTGAAGAAAGATAAGGAAATATCTCGTACTTATTTTAAATAGGAATTTAGTACATAGTTTGCGATTGATTTGGCCAAACGTTGTTGCTAAAATAACTTGTAACGCTTTATTACATAAATTAACCATGGTATATTCTACAGCTGAAAAAGTTGAAATTATCGAAATATTTTTCGGAAATAATCAGTGCGCTAGAACAGCAGAAATATTTAATGAGCGACATGAGAACAGTAACGTGCATCGAAAATATGTTCTAGAACTTGTAGCTAAATTTCGGGAAACTGGGTCAGTCGCCAATAAAAAACGCAACATTGAAAATCCTATACGGAACGAAGCAATAGAAGTTAAGTACCCGCAAATTGGAGACTATGTGTGGTGTTAGTCGACGTACTGTCCAACGGATTCTAAAGGCACATAGTTTTCATCCATATAAAATTCACCTGGTACATGAACTTGATGACGACGATTTTGATCGGCGATTGCAATTTTGTGAAGATATGAGTGAACCAATTATAAACGATGAACATTTTCTATTCAACACTTGCTTTTCCGACGAATGTTCCTTTTTCTTAAATGGCGTAGTAAATCGTCATAACTGCCGATATTGGTCCGATTCTAATCCCAGAATTTATCATGAGGTTCATACACAGCAGCCACAAAAAGTAATGTTTGGGCTGGTATTTCTATTTGACCGGTGAAATGTATTTGGAATTACTGGAAGACGCCATAGATCCTGCATTAACAGCCATAATTGAAAATCAGAATGATCGGCGGTACATTGCGAATAGGTTGATGTTCCAACCGGATGCCCCACCACATTACGCATTACGTGTTCGACAATATTTAGATCAGACGTTTCCAGATCGATGGGTTGGTAGAAGAGGTGCCATTGAATGGCCCCCAAGATCGCCAGATTTATCACCTTTGGATTTCTTTAAGTGGGGTCATTTAAAAAGCAAAATCTATGCTACTCAGCCAACATCATTAGAAGACCTGCGACAAAGAATTGTGAATGAGTGCCTTCAAATTACTCCTCAAATATTGCAAAATGTGCGGCAATGTTTTGAGCAAAATCTTTATTATTGCATGGAGAGTCATGGTGGCCATTTTCGACATTTACTTGCCTAACGGGTCAGTTCATTCTTTATTTTTAAATTACTTTGCTGCCAAATGTATTGATCTCCACTAATGGTGATGTATTAGTTTTATTTAAATTTTAAATCAATAAATCTTCAAAACTACTGAACTGAAGTACATTAATTTCATATCATTATAAAGGGTATTGAAAGACCTTTAAAATAAGGTATCACTCGACCCCCCTTTCCATTTGAGATTTTAAGGGTGGTGTCACCCCCGCTTAGGAGGCTGCACGTGCTAACGTGATTTTTTGCCAAACTTGTGTCCCCCTCGAAAACAAAATCGACGGGTCTGATCGTTTTTCAAAAAAAGAACTGAGCTGCCAGTAAATGCGTGTTTCGTTTTCGATGCGCCATCCTGTATATATATATATATATATATATATATATATATATATATATATATATATAAATTGTTTGCCTTTAGCAGTGTTGCCACAACACTGTGGCCAATTTACTGACTTATACTACACCGTTTTACTGGTAATTACTGCCAAATCGCGGAAGCCTAGAATATGGCTACTACTAATTTAATTTAAAATTTGAAATAAGTAGATAGTCCTTTTGTTTTTTGTTGGTTTTCTCTATCTGTTCGCCCATTACTCAACGTTACGCGCAATAATTGTTGAAACGTGAGTACCGACGCGCTGAGCATTTGGTCTACCATTTCTGCACTTTCAGACAGACAGACTAGGTAGTTTTTAGTATGCAAATAGTTCATTCCACGATTGTTTGTTATGATCGCTTTTCGTTGACGTTTAAGCAATACGTACAGTTCAAAACGGGTTCACAACAAGTGTACAACAGCTTGTGCTAAGTTAGCATCTTGTACAAATACCCACGAAATGTCAAAAAAAACTAGGGAATGTAAAAAAACCCGTGCCAATCTCTACTAGACCGGCTGGGGTATTATGGAAATAACCTAAAAAGCGTTAAAAAACGACATGTCATCTTGACGACTAGGTATTTTTTAGTGTACAAATTGTTCATTCAAGGTTTCCAACTAGTACGACAAGCGTACCCAGCAAGTACGATAGTTTTTTTTTAATGTTGGCATTTTAAATTTAAGATTGGAAAAAGTTGACACGCACGACTATTATGTAAAAACGACGAAATGTCACTTTTTAAGATATGTAATACTCGTACCGAATATCATAAATCAGGCCCAGAATTTTCAACGCCTGTGGCAACACTGGGTGAGATAAAATTTGCGACTGTCAAGTGCGTGTCAAGCTGTCAGGAAACATAAACATTAAACAGGTTTTTTTGTGTTTTTTCTTATATCGGTAACCGTGTATAGATTTTGATATCAGGTGAAAGAAAGCAACAAGTTTCATTAGATCTTTTTATTCCAGGTAATTATTAGAAATAAATAGAATAATAATAACTTAGTAGTATGTCGAATCTTCTAAACATGTACTGAAATAAAAACTACTACTGCTACATAAGGTTAATATGCTATGGGGATAGAACCGCCCTTTGCAATTTTAATAAGACACTACCGTGCCCAGTGTACTAATACAAGATAGTATTAATATAGTTGATGTTTGTGCATGTCCCACTGTGAGGAACAAAGTGATTCAAGTTGATTTGCTAGAAAAAAACTTAAAATCTTTTTGAGTACTTAGTATGGAATTGGTACTTGATTTGTGATGTGTAGGATACCTAGAACACAAATGGCCCCTTTAGCAAGCAGAATTGCACATCAACCCTCTGGGTGAAGCACTGGATTACCCAGTTGACCAAACATGCAAAGATTCCAGGCCGCAGCTCACACTGCCTCCAATAAATATAATTCTAAAAACCTATCAAAAAATTTAGTTTTGGACTAATTAAAATACATATATTTATTTAGCTGTAATAGCGTATCTAGCTAGCCAGCAACACTTTCGACAGCTAATCTATCATCATATATTGCTGCCAGATTGCCAAACTATTTAAATCCTACATACCCCTTATTATAAAAATGTCAAACAGACTGATGACAATCACTGACGTTACTGTAAGTATCCTCTGGACTGCCTTGAGTAGCAATGAGTAGTAAGTGGACCGCAACAATAATATTGGCTTATTGATTTTTTTCAACAATTCTTGTTTCAGTTACAGTCCAAGAATGAACAAAGCAGTTGGCCTAAATAGAGAGGAATTAACCAAGTTAAAATGTAGTCAGTGTCAACTGTACCTCTCATTACCACCAATAGTTCATAAAAATGGTAAATGGTACTGTGGGAGATGTAAGGTAGCTGGGATCAGAAATGATATTTATGAAGAATTGGCCAAATACATGTGCTTCCCATGTGTCCATGAGACTTGCAAGCTTCAACTACAATGGGGACAAGTTGCCAACCACGAGCTTGCTTGCCCCCATAAAGTGATTTTGTGCCCTTTTATCAATTGCAAGGAAAAGTACAAGAACAAGGAATTTTTGGCACACTTTAGCAAAACTCATGCTTCTAATCTGTTTTTTACAAATGAACTAAGGGCTGGTAGAAGATTCAGACATCTGAGTTTCAACCAGTTTGGTACAGATAGAAGAGTATATGCAATTACCTATGAGAATCTTAATTATTTAGTTATGGTTTACCTAGATGCAGAAAAACATCCCAAAACAAACACTGTTGGAATATATAATTTTTCATTCGGAGTATATTCTGTACAAGCCAAAAGCAAAAAGAAATGTTATGAAGTTGATATACAGATAATATGGGACTCTGGAATCATTACAAATTATAATATTAAAGATCAGCAGATATTACAATTCAATGACAGAATTCATTGCTTGAAATGCATTCAGGGCATTTGTTCTTTAGAATTTCATGAAAATAAAAAAAACAATTTTCTACCTACTAAGCTTGCTAAGCTTAAGAATTTAGGGGATATGGAAGTTCAGTTCAGGGTGGCAATTGTTAATGCTACAGAACCACAGATTGTATCAAATAATAAAGGGAAAGATAATCATTCAGATTTAAAATGCTCAAAATGTAGAGACTACATGTGCTCCCCAATTTATGTATGTAGCTTGAATCATTCATTCTGCATCAGTTGCAAACGAAGGATAACCAGTTGTAATACTTGTAAAACTGTTATATTGGATACTAGAAATGCTGATCTTGAATATATTGCAGAGAAGACAGAGATTCCTTGTCATAATAAGGGTAAAGGTTGTAACTATGTGGGTATTATAAGAAGAACGAAACAGCATCAGTTTGATTGTAAATACAACTTTGGTTAATTAGAATATCTAAATGGAAGCAAATATTTTATTGTGTGTGTAAATTTTACCTTAGGTTGATAAGGCTGATATTTTACTGTGCTAAATATCTACTAGTATATCATTCCTAATTGTATACTGGCATTTATAAAAATGCATATACCATTAACAGTGCCTTATATATCTGTTACATTAAAAGTAGGCTATCATATCTGAGACTGTTAGGAATTAAAGTTATTTCAACAAAACTGCTATTGTTTTATTTATTATATGTAATACACTGAGAACCCAATTTGCCTAAAGGCGTGAGTTCAAGGTGTACGAGAGTGAAGTGCGTGTAGGCACATGTTAGAAAGACGTAAAAGCCAGTAGGATCATTCCTAACGGCGCTCCATTTTAGATTGAAATGAAAGCCACAAATTCTGAAACATCCATCATGCTTTGACGTCTACCCAGGTGAACAGCATATCACCAAGTGATTTATTTATTTTCTAGCCGCAACTCCTTCCAAAGTGGTAGCGCTTGCATGAGGGTAACCGTAAATGCGGTCTTCAATACCCACAAAAAGAGATCATTAGGCGCCAAGTCGGATCTCGCTGGCCATTGTACGTTGCAATAAGGATGTTCTTGTGGTATCGATATTTCAGAGTATCCATACTTCCTAAAACGATACCTATCGATACTTTTTGTGGATAGGAATATCCCTACTGGACCATAGTATATCAGGTTCACTTTTACAGTGTTGCCAAATGTAGGAAAGCCTAAGCCTATGCTGCCGTCGAGAGCCATTGATCTCAGAGGTCATTATCTGGAGGTCAACTTTTTACGTCAGAATGCATTGCCATACATGAGGTCGAGCGGTCATAAGTTTCTCATTCAAAACGTGAACTACTGTAACGTCTGACAAGTACACGAACATCCCGAAAACGTGGCAACCACGTATTTTTTTGGAGGAACGTTTTGAGAAAACTTTTAGGATACCTAAAAAGCTACTTGTCGATCACCTCAAAAATGACCTCAAAGATTATTTGGAGGACAAGTTTGTTAATTCAAGTACTAACCATGATTTTCATCTTTATACATGAGGCACATCGAAATTTGTCCTTTGAAGGCCTTTAGAGCCAATAATAACCTTTTTTTAATTTTTCGTTATAGTGGCACGCAGTAGGGTTACTAAAATCGTTTTAGTTCTTTCCTGACTTTATTTGTAGTGAGATTTAAAAATAAATTTCACGTTATGATTGCCACTTTTCCTTTTCTACAAGATGGCATAATCAGAATTACAATATGACGCTTCGTCTATTTTTCCTCCAACATCAGCTTTATTTTTTCTTCTGGACGCCATGTTGGATTTTAATTCTGCCTCCAAAAATACATTTATAACGTATCATACAATGACATTGCTAAACCTTAGTTATTTAGTTAGTTATCATTTACAAGCAACAACGAATAAAGTTTCTTCTTACATTTTATTTACATACCAGATAAATAGATAAAATAGAGATATTTCGTTAAACTGTTGTATACTCGTGCCTAATGATTATGACTTTGAGACTGGCTCGTCCTGGACCTTATTTTCCTCAGCTTCTACTTCAGGCTGCTGAAGTGATGGGGAGGAGGTTCTCTCAATAGCTCCTTCATGTTCGTCCAAGAACCTGTCCATAAAATCAGTTACTCCAGGATGCAGAGTATATTTCTTCTTCCCTAGACGAACCTTGTTCGCAAACAGGTCATGCCTTTCCGATTTCTTCCACAAATAGTAAAACTGCACGAGCTCTCCTACTGACCTGGTGCGCACTTTATTCTGCTGCATCAAATAAAAGTTTTTACCAAATGATCTCACACCAGCTTCGAAGTTTCTGCATTCCTCTTCAGACCATGGAGACATTTTTTCATCAAACAGGTTGGCATTCATCTTATGTCGCCGCAAAGCTTCTTCTACGTTGTGACCACATTGCTGTAGTAAGTACAGTGCTGGTTCACTGTCCCGCAAATGTGTCCCCATTGGCAAGAAAGGCCTATGGACAGCTGCAGCTTTCTTCAAATACTCCTCAACAATATCGCTGGACAAGATGTATGGGTCCCAGATAAGTTTATCTTCATTTTCGTATGGCAAAGCGTCGTCATAGTGACATAAGCCGTCTGGAACTTGTGCTTGAAAGTCACCGCCTACCATGATCGTCTTTATCACCATTCTGTTTTCTTCAGGTGTCATGTAGTCATCAGTATCATCTTCTTCTTCACTTTTGGCTTTGGATCGCAGTAATCTTGATGCATCTTGGTACTTTGGTTTGGAGTCGTAGAACGTCCTCAGCCTTGGATGTTTCGGGGCATGTTGTTTCTTCGTCAAGCAGAATTTTGGGCTTTCATTCTCTTGATTCTCGTTGAAGTAGTAGATGTTGTTCTTCTTCCGTATGTCGAACTCATCACTGGAAGACGAGGACTCTTCACCAATTCGAATATCTTCATCAAAGTCATTAGTTAATGAATCGACTGTCGATACTGATAACTTATCTTCACTAGTCTCATTCACTTTCTTGTTAGTACTGACGATGTCTTGCTGCATATTTTTTCACATATGCCGGTTATTTAGGTCATGATCCAATTTTCCTCAAGGTCAACATGTAGCTTGTATTTTCGAAAGTCTATCTCCTGGTTTTAGACTCAAGTTTACAGTAGTTTCATCACTATATTACTAATATGTTTGCAATTTTTATAGAAAACAGCAGGAAACTTGACAGCCGCGTTATCGCACGTGCTTCACTCGAAGAGAAGTGACATATTGATTTTATCCTACTCTCAAGAGATTCGAACGCATTTTCAGAATAGTATTGTCTGTAGCCTTATTATTCAATAAATGCGTTAATTTGATATAAGAAATCTATTTAGATAAAAAATAAAGAAACTTTTTCATGTGTTGCTAATAAAATCAATAGTTTGGCGTCGACGCGTACATCTTGCATTTAGGGATTGGAATTACAAATGCACCCCATATTTCACCCCTTGAGGGAGCCTTACATTGCACTGGTTGCCACTAGATCGCACGACCTGTTACTGACTCTACAATTGCTTATAAGCTTTAATAAGAGGGAATTATTGAACCACCAGGCACTAATAGAGCTAGGCGATATTTTGATGACTGTGCTTGCCACAAATGTGATGTAAAAATACATTTATCGCTAACCTGTCAGCTCATCAATTTCAACAATTTATTTACACTATACCTTGTTCCCGACTGGCACAAATAGCACAAACCGCCACCAGAAGCTTGAAAATAAAAATTACATGGGAAGATGAGAATACTTTAATTACTTAGGGTATTTAAAAAATAATAATAGGGGTAATTAATTTTTTTTATATCAACTGTTTAATTGGCCACGTTTTCTCAGTGTGTATTTGTGTTACTGCCATTTTTAGGAATTTGCAATCCCTATTTTTGAGTCTGTACTACTTCTGAACTTATCTTTTGTTCTTCCTCAATCAGCTTTACAGAATTTGTTCCCAAATGTTGTTTCATTGAAGGAACGCTCAGTGAAAAATTAGTCCGGTTATTGTATACTAAGTGACGTATAAATCCAAACACCCAGTTTAAATGGTTTTATTTTAATAAAAGTTGGTGAATGTATTTATCCTACTGTAAATAACAAGTGAAAAAATTTTCAGCCTTATCAGTTGGACATTCCGGTATACTGCTTTTTTTAATTCACTAACGCTCTAAAAATGAATATTTCAGCCGCAGTAAAGAATCAACGTTGGCGGATTTTGGTTCTTGACATCCTTTACGATCGGTTACCATGCCTAGAGTACGGAGACCTGTACGATTTCGTCAACTTAGTGAGCTTGATAGGGGCCATATAGTGGGACTTCGGGAAGCTGGACTTTCTTTTCGGGCAATTGCAGTTAGAGTGCAAAGAAGTGTAGACACTGTGGTTAGGTGTTGTCAGGCATGGCATCGAGAAGGCCGTACGCAAAGAGCAAGGGGCACTGGACGCCGCCGTAGAACAACAGACCATGAAGATCGCCGCCTAAGATTATTGGCCTTAAGGGACCGTTTCTCCACTACCAGGTCAATTGCAAATGAATGGTTTGCAGAACACGGAAGACCTATTGGCATGCGAAGTGTTTACCGACGAATAAGAAGTTTTGGCTTGTTTTCATACCGGCCACACTGGGTCCTCCCTTTAACTAGAGAACACCGACGTAATCGCCTTGAGTGGTGAAGACAACGGTCACTCTGGGATCAGGAATGGAACAGTACTGTCTTTAGTGACGAGTCTCGATTTTGTTTAGGCATGCACGATGGTCGTGCCAGGGTTAGAAGGCGACGTGGTGAAAGGAGGAATCCACAGTTTTTTGTTGAAAGACATGTTCATCACACTGTTGGAGTTATGGTTTGGGGTGCTATAGCTTATGGTTCCAGGTCACCTTTAATCTTCATCAGAGGCAACATGAACGCGCAGCGTTATATCCACGAAGTTCTAGAACCCCATCTTTTACCCTATCTTGACACCCTGGCAGATCCAACTTTCCAACAAGATAATGCCCGACCACATGTTGCAAGAGTCACAATAGACTTCTTTCAACATAATGATGTCACATTGTTACCATGGCCACCAAGATCTCCCGACTTATCCCCAATTGAGCACGTGTGGGATATGATGGGTAGGAGATTGCTCAATTTGCAACGTCCTCCTCAGACTCTAGAAGCACTTCGAGAGGAGTTGGTGGTTGCCTGGAATGAGATACCACAGGAGGACATTGACCACCTGATCAGAAGGATGTCTAGGCGCGTTGGAGAATGCGTAGCACATCAGGGTGCATCCACATATTATTAAAGGTCAAAGGGCTTTAAAGCAGTGCAATCATTTTGAATTTTTACTTATACAAAATTTTATTAAAATAAAACCATTTAAACTGGGTGTTCGGATTTATATGTCACTTAATATAGATATACAGTAATGGAAAAAAGTATATAGACAAATATGAATATTTACCTAAATACCTTTAGAAAACGAATTTATACTTCATTGCTCCATAAGCAAATGCGTTATTAGTAGAAAAACTAAATGCCTTGTTTTTACATTATCTGCAATAAACACAATACAAGTCTGAATATAAGCACTTTTTTATGAGGGACAAACATATGTAGACAAATTCTTTTCAACATTAGTTTAGTACAGTTTCGTGTCAGTTTGTGTTCATCAAGTATTGTGGAATAAGTTGAGTGATTTTAAGACCCTGCCGCGTTTTCCAGAAATTTCTTTCGATATGAAAACTAAGATCATTGAGTTATACAAAGATGGTCAACATCAAGTCGACATTGCCAAAAATTTGAAGCTGAAGCGTAAAGCAGTTTGGGCAATATTGAACAAATATAAACAAAGAGGTATCTTGGAAGCCTCTAAGAGAAGTGGTCGGCCTAGAAAACTAAATGCTAGATCAGTTAGATTAATAAAAGTAATTTCGTCCAGATATCAGATTTAAAGCATGAAAAAGTTGAAAATAAATTGCTTTTAAAAAATAACTCCGGGTTGTTTTTGTGTACTCCCTCGTAGTGGCCTTCCAATACCTGTGAGATATTCATTCATTCATGTTTATTCATTTCAAGGCAGTTTTTTCCATAAAACCATGTGAGCGACTACGCAATAAGGTGCTTGTAGGCATATAAATATTTTGTTCATTATAAAGCATTAAATATCATAACACATATAGGCCGTTATTTCAAAAATTATTTTGAATCAGGAAAAAATGCCGAAAAACAATCCCATTGATTTTGAAATTCTAGATCGATATCAGGTGTCTTCCAACAATAGTTAAAATCAGTCACGAACTAAAAAGATATTACACAGACGCAGTAAGGTATCGATGGAATGTTGACGTACATCGTCAAGTCATCGTTGGTTGACAGAGCGATCCGGGGGACCTTAGCTCTTGAGTCACAGTGTCAGTTCGTAAGTCTGGTAACCCAAAAACCAGACAATTTGAAGGAAATGAGAGAAGGAAGAACGAGAGCAAAGGGGAAGAAGAGAATCTTTTAGGATAGGCAGCGTTTAGGCATTGTTAAAATCACTTCACAGATTTTGATATGGTCTAAAAATATTCGTTTTTTTCTAAAGATTTTGTCAAAATGCTCCAATTTTGGTTGTTCTAAGTACACGAATTAATTTTGTTTACAGTGCGAGCCGCGGCCTTTTGTGCTTGCGAACTTACTCGACTGTGTAGTCCACTGACTCACGCAACAGAGGGTTGCTGTGCGATTCCACTAGGCTATAGCGCCGCTGCGCCTGTTGCTTAATGTTGTCCTTTAGGTAAGGGACATCGAGGTCTCTATGTAGAGTTTCGTTAGAGACATACCATGGGGCGTCAGCAATAGTGCGCAACGGCCTGGTTTGAAGAACCTGCAGATTTCGCATGTGTGTTTTAGCAATAAAACACCAAGCCGCACATGCGTAAGTCATTGCTGGTCTTATGACCACCTTATAGAGTCGAATCTTGTTAATCAAACTTAATTTGGAACGTTTACATAATAATGGGTAAAGTTGTCAAGTCATCCCTTTGTCCAGAATGAAACCGAGATACTTAGCGGAGGATTTCCATGGTATACGAAGTCCATTCATTGAAACTTCAGACGGAACGCCGCGACGTCGTTTTGTACAGTAGATTAACTGCGTTTTCGGATGGTTAATTTTAATTAGCCACCGATCCGCGCAATCTAATACTTATTCCACCGCACTTTGCAAACCTGTCGTGGACTAGGTGACCAGACCACGACTGAGCCACCAATGCAGTATCGTCAGCATAGAGATAGACTTCACAGTTGCCTGGACTAGGGACGTCATGGATGTACAGTGAGAACCCCGAGGGATGCCGGCTGTAATCAGCCGTGTTGTCGACAGGACATTGTCAATTTTGATCCGAAATTTCCTACCTTCAAGGAAGGATTTCAGTAGTTTTAGAAGCCAAAAGAGGGAAGCCCTTTTGGATTAGTTTATACAGGAGGCCCGCGTGCCACACCTTGTCAAATGCTTTTGAGACATCCAAAAGCAAGATGCCAGTACTTTCGTTAAGGGTGAATCATCTGGCTACTCGTTCCACTAGCCTAACCGCCTGTAGCTCCGTACTATGTTCATACCGAAAACCGAATTGCACGTCAGGAATCACATGGTGATCTGACGCGAAATTCTCAAGGTGACGTAGAATCACCTTTTCAGCGAGCTTAGACGGAGCTGACAGCAGGCTAATGGGACGATAATCCTGGGGAAATATCGAACCCGCCTTCTTTGGAATCGTTATAACCTCAGCGGTCTTCCACGCGGATGGGAAGTGCTGGATCCTTAGCATGGCATTGACTATTGCCAGACGTATGTACATCGTGTTCACCGTGGTCCGCAGAGCGAGCTATAAAGCTATGTACAGATATGTAACAACACCGCGAACCGAAGTGTAGACGGTGAAAAAAACGCCGTCGCGAACCTGATAAGCGTTACAGCTCGCCGTTCGGCCCGATCCAGACTCTGTCGGTTTTTCAACCTAACATCCAAAGGAAAGGCTCGCGACGAAGTTGCAGATGTTTGGACAGGGATATCGGTGCGGCGAGCACGCGCTCATATCAGTAAATGGATAGAGCGACAAACATCAAAGTTAGATCGTCATTTTGTTGCACGTCGTGGTTCTGTTTGTGGTGATGCTCGTTGGAATGTTGTTCGTCGAAATGCGCGGGCTGCGGTTCGTCGCGTGGTTCCGTTCGCGGTGTTGTTACATATCTGTACATAGCTTTACGTAACTTGAAAAGTAACATACTGTCGTTTTTTACATTATGTAGGTTTTCCTACAAGTTGTCCACTAGTAACTAGCTTTATGCTCACTTGTAGCAGACGCGAAATGAACTATTTTCACACTAAGCATAGTGTGACTTTTGGAAATCTAGTAGGCGTAGAACATGCCATGCTTTGTAGGATCATTACCACAGATTATACAGATGCGACACCTTCTGTCGGTCCCTTTGATATTCGTGTCCCCAACTGCTTACCACATTTCCCGCTTCTGTTCATTAGCGTTCATTAGCAAATTTTCATTGCCCATGAAATATTCCTTTAATTTTCTTTTAAATATTTTTAAATTACAAGTAAACTTTATATCATTATTTAGTTTATTAAATTCAAGTAATCCTTTCCGAAATATTGATTTGCTAGTTATATTACTATTGCAATTTTGTAAATGAAAATCTATATTTCCTCTTGTATAATAATTGTGGTAATGATTATTCGATTCTATGTAAATATTCTGGCAAAAGATGATTTTTTATTTTAAATATAAAAATAAGAACCAAATATATGAAATTTTTCATATTCAACCACTGCAATTCTTGTAACATAGATTTTATTTTGGTGTACTTATTTTTATTCAATATTATTCTCATAGCTTTATTTCGCAAGACTTGTTATTTTGAGAATACATCTTCATTGGCAGTGAACAGGATAGTTCAACAATATAGTAAATGCTGTAGAATAATTCTATTATAAACTATTTTCTTGGAATAGGGACCAAGACTATGAGATGCCCTATAAAAGTAATTTGTTTTTTTGGCAATTTTTGAAATAATCCTCAAACTCTAGTTTACTATAAATATATATATACCTAAATATTGAATTGATTCAACATTTTCAATTATTTCTCCATTTATCCTAACTGTGATAGTATTTTCATTTAGGTATTTCCCTATTAGCATACATTTTGTTTTAGAAGTATTCAATATTAGTTTATTTACATTTAACCAATTTACGATTTTTGTCCAGTCATAATTCAGCATTTTTAAAGCAGTGTCTATATTTTCATCTGATACGTATATTAATGTATCATTTGCAAATATCTGAAGGTTACAATAATCTAAAATATTACAAATGTCATTAATGTATAAAATAAATAGTAGTGGACCTAGTTTACTACCTTGTGGTATAGCAACAGAAATATTTTTTGATCTTGATAATGTAGATCCAATTTTGGTTTTTTGACTTGTCAATTAAATAGTTTTGTAGAATTTTGAATATAGATCCTTTAAATCCGTAGTGAAGCAATTTTGTAAGTAATTTATCCCTGTCGATAGTCTCAAACGCCCTTTTGAAGTCCAAAAACACTTACTGTATGTTTCCGATTGTCTATAAATCTCCTCCAGTCCTCTAAAACCATTTGTGTTGCAAAGTTGAGTGTTTCTTCCTGAATCCAGCTTGAAATTTGGTTAAAATGTTATTTCCCTCAATAAATTCGATGATCTGTTCGTAAATAATTTCTTCAAAACCTTTTTCAACATCTGGCAGAACATTCATTGGCCGCATATTGGTGTACAACTCAGAATTCTTAACTTTAGAAGCAGGAGTTATGGTAGAACACTTCAGTTTTGTTGGAAATTCGCCATATTTTAAACAGTAATTTATCAGGATTAATATATCTTTGCTCCAACATTCATTAAGCACACTTTTAGACAAAATCTCTCTTATTTTGATTTGATTTTTGATATAATCTTTTTGAGACGATTAATGTTTATTGTTCTAAGCTCACTGAACGATGCATTATAATCTGAGCTATTGGGACATTGGTTGGGATCCCCGTCAATAATTGATTTTACAATGTCGATGACACTTTGAATGAAATAGGTATTCATTCGATCTGCTATTATTTCTTCATTTGTTATTACCCCATCGTCGAATTTCATTTTAGATAATGTACTTTTTCTAATAGGACTAACGTTTTTCACATATTTTTTTACAGTAATATGAATCCCACCGAACGCATAGAAGTCAGGTTGGCGTTGATAGAACCTGAGTGTCGCCTGTGGTAGTACTCTGTGTCATTACTTCATGGTTTATTAATATCCAATATTTTTTCTTGCAACTTGTCCGAACTGTCAAGGTTGTGAACTTTTTCAGTGAGGCCGCACAGTACTACCAGGTTCTATCAACGTCAACTTGAATCCTATCCGTTTGGTGGGATTCGTGTTAGTGTGACATTTACTATTTAGGGGTCATCAAAAACATTCAGTTTTGTTTTTTAGTGTTTTTTTGGTTTTGATTATATTCAATATAAAAAAGCTTTTCAACTAGCCATGTGGGTAAATGATAATACACAAATAAATTTCTTGATTCTATTGTTGACATTCAGGCGTAATTCAAGCGTAACAATCCCTAGGAAAAAATCCTGTGGACGCTAATGAACATAAGCGGGAAATGTGGTAAGCAGTTGGGAACAGGAAGATCAAAGGGACCGACAGCAGATGCCCGGTGCGGCGTGAGTATCGCAGATTATGTTTTCCATACCTCCTCGTCAGTCATTTGAATTTCCGGCAAGTAACATATCAGGAGCACAGCACGCATTCCACATCTCCTCGTGCCTCTGTTATCCTGACAGTAAATCGTCGCACATCCATTTTAAAATCGCTCGAATGAACGTTTGATTGAATGTGCGATTTTCAGTTAGATTTTGTATCAAGAACATAATTTGAAATGCCGATTAGCATAATGCATCACCCATACCTCCTCACGTTTTTGTCCTCCTGATTGCAAAACTTTGCTTCCAATATAGACTCGAGTATAAGATTCTGAATCATTAAAAATTCTGCATCAGGATTGTGCCATTTTGGCCATTGAAAATTCTGTATCAGAAAATTTCAATTTTCCACCAGAGGAATAAAAATAGCGGATAGGGATACTTGTGGTGGGTTTCAGAGGCAGATTAATTTTTTTGCTAAACCTCCTCGCGTTTCTGTTATCCTGATAGCAAATCTTATTTGCCTGTTGTAAGGTGTAAAAGGTTTCAATAAATACGCACACATAGACGTTTAAATGTATTTTTATAAATAATCAACAACTAACAACATGGTATCTGCCTGTGCATTTTCAATAAATACGTCATAAATATATAGTTGTACAAAAGGTAAAAATATTTTCAATTGTCGTGGAATACATGCTTATAAAATTTGAATCCATTCAACAAAATTTCTTACTGTATTTCAACATTTAATATCAAAATTAGCACCTTTCATATGCTTATTTGTCCAAAAATGTTCAATCAATATTTTCTAACGAGCCTAACTGAGATAAGGTCCTTATAACTTCTGCCTTTTGGTTGTCGTTTAATTTCTGTATGATGGCTACAACTGCATCCAACGCTACATCAGGACAGTCCTGAAAAAAAATAGTTCAAATTATGCTCGAAATTGTATCACATCGGTTTTCAACATTAGAGTGTGAATCCTACAAATCTACTCTGAGCTATGTATTCTTGTTATTGGATGTTACGATTTAACACGCTAAGATTATTGTTCAAAAAAATGTGGTTTTATTTGACTTACTTGTATTGAACACTTAATTTGATTTATTACAGCGTCCCTCTTCACAGCATGAATATTGTGGTTTATTATTGACTGATTGGCTGGTTTGGAAAGCTGCTCTTCAATCCATTGTACAACCACCTCATTCTTGTCCCATTTGTACCCCTGGAAGCAAAATAAAATAAGGTCATATTTAGTCAAAGCAGCATCTTTTTTCTCGATTGCCATAAGTGGAAAATGTAAAGCTTGATCAGAATTTCACCCATATCTATTCCTAATATAAAACACGTCTTTAGTTAAACAATTATTAATTTTTTTAGATATAAAGTATGGATATGTGACAAATAAGAAAATCCTGGATTTTTTGTAAACATTTTTTTCTCTTTCGTATTCCAAAATCCGAGAACTAAACTGATTTTTTTGGGCAAATTGTTATATTTGTTACGAAAAAAATGAACAAAAAAGAGAATAGGCGCTATCGCAGCGAATTATAGCCACTTTACGGGTTGTGGGTATTATTTTTGACACTTACCTCTGCTGCGCCTTTGTCTTCAATGAACCACCTCCTGAGCATTGCCTCTCCTTGTCCCAGCGCTAGCTCAGGTTGAGCCTCCATCAAAGCCTTTATCACCCTATCTTCGAGCAATCGCCTCCTCAACCTCCAGTAGATAATTGTCCTAGATTTCCTCCATGGCACTATGTCCTGGAAATAAATGATCTGATTAGCGACGGGGACCTCCTAGCTTACGTCACGCAACTGTGGAGCAAAACTCATCCAGTCACAGGGGAGGCTGGCCCTTAAGTTCTGCAGAGCTGCAGAACTGCCAAAACTTTTGTCTTAACAGAAAAAAGCAGTAGTATTTTGATCATTATTTATTTTCCATGTTATCACACAAATAGAAACAATACCAGCCTGCCCCCGCAAGACACGGCGTCGAGTCTGTTTTGTACTAAGAAAGCATTATAATCGACCAATTGTGTACTTGTAATTTTCGTCGCGACCGCAGCGTAACATTATTCATGGGACACTTGTTGCAGAAGAGAAAAACCGAGCCAGCGAAAGTTAAAACGGCTATCGATAATTTTTAAAAAAAATAAAATTGATGACATAATAAATGGTGTTCCCCAGGGATAGCTCTTGGCTCCGACATTGTCCCTCTTACAAATGAACGGCTCACTTTACTGTACGATCAATACGATCCACAGCTTTCGCGATGACAGCAATCTCCATGCACGAATTCGGAGTGGCAAGCCGATCCCTGCAGATGAGCTGGAGAAAAGAAGACTAGCAGCGACCTCGTCTATGACGAGAGACCTGGAGATTATCACTGCTTGAGGACGCAACAATCTTGTACAGTTTAAGTTGAGTCCAGGTCACCGAGGACCAGATCTTTTTACAAAAATTTATAAAAAAAAGGCTACGTTGATGTTAAGATAAAACTTGAGCCCACCTACATATTCGACGGCACTTCCAAGCAGCCAATGGCGATTACCAACATACTTTTATAAGGGAAATGCAGAATCACTGTAAAGAAGACAAAAAAAAACTGATGTGCAAGATTTGGACAAGACTGGGAAGATAACATCGCGCTATCGCCGATTTATTGTTTAATCATGCCTTAAAGCCCATGACAGGAGACGTTGAAAGTGCAGATCTATGCTCGGAGAAGGGATGTCCTGCTTCGGCATAAGAAAACCTTTACCAAATTTTATATGGCTTAAGCTGAGAACTCACATGTATAGCTCCTTTCTCCAGCATCCTCTCCGGCGTATCGTGCAGATCGGCGAAATGTACGGACACCTGATGGTACATGGGCAAGAGGAAGTTCTCCCTCTCCTTGATCTTCTTTTCCAGCTCCTTCATCTCGGGCGGTTTCGGCCTTTCTACGATCGGTTGTGCCTGCGATATGCTCATCGATCTCTCCCTCGGGTGCTGCTGCTCTTGCTGTTGTTGGAGTTTCTTCAGTTGTTCGTCTAACTCCTTCACTAGCGGGTCTATCCGGTGAATGGCTTTTAGCAGGTCCTTCTTTCTGAATTTGATTTCGACAATACCTTCCGGTTCCAAAACGCCACCCCTACAAAAGAGATAATTATTTTTAATGCTCTATTTTCCACACTTAAAATGTCAAGTATATTGACTCTACAGGGTGTCCCAGAAGTCGACGTCAAGCCGGAAACGTTATAATATATACGTAGTGATACAAACTGTGCTATATTTTCATGTAAGCAGGTCTATCTCCGTCAGTCAACACGGTTTCATGAAGGGCAGGTCCACAGTTACTAACTTGCTACATCTTACTCAATATGTGTGTGAATCAGTCGATAGACAACTTCAAACGGATGTAATATATACTGATTTCTCTAAAGCGTTTGATAGTTTAGACCATAACATTCTACTCAATAAGTTATCTAGATTTGGTCTTTCAGATGCATTGTTGCTATTTTTCAGATCTTAGTTATGTCATGTTATGTGCAATGGACATAAGTCAAGCGAATACCCTGTAATGCGCGGTGTTCCTCAAGGATCTAATTTGGGACCTCTGTTATTTATTATGTTCATAAATGATATTTCTGAATTTATCGATGTCGATTTTCTTATATATGCTGACGATATGAAACTTTTCTGTAGAGTCTCTAACATTGACGACTGTCATCGCTTGCAATGCAACATTGCAAGGGTTGACAGCTGGTGTCGTGAAAACAGACTTGTTTTGAATGCTGCTAAGTGTCACGTTTTGTCGTTTACTTTAAAAACAGGGGTAATGATGTATGAATATAGTATTGGTGACAGGAAACTTGACAGACCTAGTACAATTAATGACTTGGGAGTCACATTTGACAGAAAACTTTCCTTCTCCTATCACATTGAGAATGCTGTTGTGGCTGCATCAAAGGGGTATGGTTTTATTGTAAGAAATACCGGTGATTTCCACAACTCCTTTACACTGAAAATACTGTACTATGCTTACGTAAGATCTAAGCTTGAGTATGCGTCCCTGGTATGGTATCCTCATCATCAAATATATATTGACCGCTTAGAGTCCGTTCAAAGAAAGTTTTTAAAATACCTCTCATACAAAGCTGACGGGATATATGCCGCTGTTGGCTTTCCTCATAGTGAGTTGATGGCGAGACACAAAATCTATAATCTAGAGAGCAGACGCAAAATGAATTCACTTAAGTTCATTCACAAGCTCATCCATGTCATCTTAGAACAACTTAACTTCTTAATTCCTAGATTAGCGCCACGAACTAGTTTAACTTTTTACTTAGCCAGGCCTAGGACTGATATACTTAAGTTTTCCCCTATATATATAATGTGCCGTAATTATAATTCAGTTAATAGCGTTTTAGATATATTTTCGTTTTGTGCGACTTTGGGAGACATTAATGCTTATTTTCGTTAAAGCTTGCTGGTGTGATTGTTGAGTGCTGGGTAGGTAAAGCTAGAACGCTTTTTTTTCCTCCCAGGTCTGTTTTGAGGTTTTTTTGCAGCGTTTTAGCTTTCTCTACATACATCCACAACATACATTTGTTTATATTTTCATGTTTATCCATCCTGTAATTGGCTATGGCTGTTGGATGTTGCTAAATAAATAAATAAATAAATAAATAATGGTTATCAGAAAAATAAAAATCTAAGTCGTGTACTTTTGTGTACTGTGATGATCTTTTAGCTCCAATTCGTTTTTCCAAATAAAAAATTCCTTGTGCCTGAAAAAAAAAATGTGGGAATCCTATTTTTTAAACAACCCTCGTATCTAGACTATAAGAAATATTCAAAGTACATATCAACTTACCTAGAATCGTTGTCTGCATACGTTTCCATATACCTAGAGTTAATAGTTGGATCTATTACAGCCCAAGCTCCGCCTCTGAGTTCTCCGTTAGGTGGAATGTAGATGATTATGGGTTGTTTGTACTGCCGAAGACCATCAACTATGTACGCTCCAAACTTCATTATTTGCTCATACATATCTGAAATAAAATAAAATATAAGTTCTTCTACACCAAAATCACTTGAAGGAGGAAATGACGGGACATTTGTAACAAGGTTGATCAGCAATCGAACAAATAAGTAGGTAGTTTTGGGGGTTCAACAATCTAATGAATCAGAATGATTTTTAGTTAGACCAAGCATCTCTGCATAACATGTTTTTACTAAGACCATAAAAATAAAATTGCTGAAAAGCAATAAAAGTTACCTTTCATGCCGCCACTGAAACCTCTCCAGTTAGCAAATATTATGAGTGGTAAGTCTTCCCTGGAAAAGTCTTGGATGGCTTGTGCTGTTTTATATGCTGAATCAGGGAACCATACTTGACCAGCTTGTGATACGGTCTGTAAATAATAAAAAAAAATAGTAAGTCAACATTTATTGTTACATGAAACATTTGTAACAAGTACAAGAATACAAAAAACCCGGATACAGTAACAGAAAGTAACGAAATTTTGATTGTCCTATGAGGGTGGTCCCAGAAGTACCCGACCCAACAAAGAAAAAAATGTATTTATTTTTCAACATAATCTCCTTTGAGCTCTATACACTTTTCCCAGCGATGTTCAATAAGTTCGATACACTTTTTATAATAAGAACTGTCTTGCTCCTGAAAAAAGCCATTAACTGCCGACATCACTTCTTCATCGTTGGAAAATCTTTGACCACTGAGCCATTTTTTCAAGTTAGGAAACAGAAAATAATCCGAGGGGGCTAAATCTGGTGAATAGGGTGCATGAGGTAGCAATTCAAACTTTAATTCGTTAATTTTGGCCATTGCAATAACGGATTCATGAGCTGGTGCATTGTCTTGATGAACACTTTCTTCTTAACCAAATGCGGCCGTTTTTGCTTGATGTCATCGCTCCAACGTTAAGTTCGCATAATACTCGCCGGTGATAGTTTTACCTTTTTCAAGATAGTCAATGAAAATTATAACACGCGCATCCCAAAAAACCGACGCCATAACCTTGCCTGGAGATGAAACGGTCTTCGCCTTCTTTGGAGCCGGTTGTCCCTTTTGAGTCCATTGTTTTGATTGTTCTTTTGTCTCGGGTGTGAAGTGTTGGACCCATGTTTCATCCATGGTTATGAAACGACGCAAAAATTCTGCTTTGTTGCTGTGAAACTTCGCTAAGCACTCAATTGAAACATCTTCACGACACTGTTTATGCTCGATTATGAGCAATCGCGGCACCCATCTTGCACACAGCTTTATCATGTCCAAATTTTCAGATAATATGCGATGAACCGCACTTTTTGAAATGCCTACTGTCTGCTAGCTCGCGAACCCTCAGTCGACGATCATTCAGTACCGCTTTGTGAATTTTCTTCACCATTTGTGGAGTCGTTACCTCATTTGGTCGACCGCTGCGATGCTCGTCTTGGCAGCTCATACGGCCTCGTTTAAGCTCTGCTACCCAATATTTTACTGTTGCAAACGAAGGAGCAGACTCACCCAGAGTAGAATCCAGTTCAGCTTTTATATTGGTTGGGCTGAAACCTTTGAAATAAAAGTATTGTACCACATAACGATGACCAATTTTCTCCATTTTCACAAATTCACTGAAAACGTTCAGTGACGGCTGCCAAACAAATACTAAACAACGTGGCGTCTTCAAACTTGACACATATGCTTTATACGTTGCATACTTTCTGATACAATGATATTTTTCAAACAACTATCGATATCTCTAGGTCAGGGTACTTCTGGGACCACCCGTAACAGGACGAAACTGACATTTCAAATGTCAAAAATCCATCAATCCCTTTGGGATATAGCCCGTAAAACAGTAATTTGAAAACTGAAGCTTATGCTTAAAATCCGGTCTTTTGGTTTTATAAAATACCCGGTGTCAGTAGCACTAGCAGGACAAATATAGCGACACCTCAAATCTCAACAATCATAGAACCGTTTATTATATAGCGTGTAAAATGAAAATTTCAAAGTTGAATTTTTAGATTAATATGTCACTTGCATTGAGATACATAGAGATACATCATTTGTCAATTTTATCAGGCCATTTATGCGGTAGCTCCGTGAGATAGAAGTTTCAAAGCTGAGGTGTTCGATTAAACCCCGTAATTTTGATTTTATAAAATTGTACAACAACACCTCGTATGTAAAAATTCATCAAGCCCACGCGCGGAAAACATAACCCTCTTTCTGAGACAGTCGTGCCACGAAATCTATCACATGTCAAACACCCCAACAAAGTTAAACGGCTTCCGATTTAAAACCTCATGTCTACGTACTTTAGCTTCAGGGTCCAAATCCTTATATATAAAAAATCATCAAGCCCGCGCGCGAAAAACATAACCCTCTTTCTGAGACAGTCCTGTCACAAATAAAATCTATCGCAAGTCAAACACCCCAACATATTCAACAAAGTTATTCTGATTCAAAACCTCAAGTGTACATACTTTAGCTTCAGAATCCAAATTCGCTGGATCTGCAGGTAGATTGAGCTCGACAGTTCTAGTTTCGACCGCTATAACGCCTAAAGGTATGCCTCCTAGTTTAGCTCTACCGGTAACGACAGTTTGTGCCCAAGGTTTCATGATTTCTTGCCAGGAATCTTTGTCAAAGAAACCGCTTTCCCAATTTGCAGGGTCACCTAAAAGCGAAATAGAAATCAATAGAAATAAAATTGCTGATTAAAAGTGTTTGTTTAAAAAGCTTAGAGCATATCTAATATCAGTATACAGTTATATACAGTAGCGGACAAAAGTTTGGAAACAAATATTAACATTATTATGAACTATTCATTCATACTAATACAAGGTTTATCTTATCAATATTCAAATTCTCAGAAAATAGAAACACGCGTTTTTTTAAATCCCGCAGTTTTTGTAACGACAAACGTATAGAAACATTTCAGTTTTGCCGTATTTATTCGTTCTGCGATACTCTGATATTTCGTAAATATTTACATTAAAAGTAAAAGAATTTCCAAAAGATTTAAGTGACAAAGTAATTGAATTATTTAGAGGTGGTGTCAGAAATGTTGACATTTCTCAGAGATTAAAAATGAACTAAGGGACGATTTCGAAAATTATTAGTAAATATGAAGAATACGGATCAACGCGTCCCAGGTGCGGAAGACCGAAAAAAAAACAGAATGTTTTGGATCGCAACAAAGATATTCTTAGTGAACAAACACATGCTCCTTTTTGCTGAAGAAGAAATGCCTTTACGATGGACATTCCAGCAAGGTAATGAATCCAAGCATATCTCAAAATTCGTAAAGGACTGGTTAAGACTAAAAAGTGTTAATGTTTTTACATGGCCCGCGCAATCCCCGGACCTAAACCCTATAGAACATCTCTGGGAGCATGTTAAAAGACAACTGACAAGAAAAACTTTTAAAAATAGGAACGATTTATTTGATTATGTAAAAAATATTTGGCAAAATATCCCAACAGACGTCTGTAAAAAATTGGTGTCGTCTATGAGCAGCTTGAAGAATTGAAGCTTGTCTCAAAATGGTTAGCATCTAACAGACTAAAATTAAATGCAAGTAAAACGAACGCCTTGTTAATCGGAAAAAACAATGTACAAATGTTCAACTGAATATTGATGGTGAAGATATTGAATTCGTAGAAAATTTTAAATACCTGGGGTTTTTGTTGACTCTCGATTAATTTTTGATATTCATTATGAAAAAGTTATAAATAAGATTAGTAGTAAAGTGGGATATTTATCGAGAGTTTCTGGATGACTGAGTTCATATAGCAGAAAAATTATCTATAATACCATCATTCTTCCAAATTTCTTGTACTGTTCGACTATTCTATATTTAGCAAATAATTCCATTTTTGAAAGACTGCAAATTTTTCAAAATAAGTGCATGAGAATAATACTGAATAAAGATAAATATACTCCAATTAGGCAAATGCTTAGCAAATTAAAATGGCTCAATGTAAAAATTTTTATCAAATATCTTGTAATGATATTCATTTATAAAGTAAAAAATAATATATTTCCATCAAGTCTAACTAATTTAACATCATCAAATGTCGACCATCATTTACATAATACCAGAAATAAAGATGACTTCCATTTAATGACCAAAAAGTATAACATATGCTACAAATCTGTATTCCATCAAGGGTTGATTGAATATAATAAATTATACTCGGAGATAAAAGACCAGAAAACTTTGACAAAATTTGAAGTAAAATTGATAAATCACTTGTTAAATCTACAATTATAGGTTGTCCAGCATTTACATCATACACCATATGGCTTGAATTTACTAGTTCTAAGTTGTTTACAATTATTTTGTTTATGTAGCCAATGTGCTAAATAAATCTTTCTACTACTACTACTAGATATCAGGCAGTGTTGATTGCTAAAGGCTATGCTGCCAACAGTATTTTTTAAATCTTTTTGTATAGTTATTGTATTTAATTTTGTAATAAAAAATATGTTTCCATACTTTTGTCGTCTCATTTTCGGTCATAAAATAATATGACGGTATTTTAATGCTAGTCTGTAGTACCACAGCAAACACAAATTGAAATTTGAATCCTCAAGACTGTAGGTAAACTATACGAGAAAAAAAATAGACCTTAATAATAAAGAATAAAAAATTAGCACACTTTTTAAAAATTACTAAGAATGTTTCCAAACTTTTGTCCGCTACTGTAACTGGATATAGGCGCTTACAAGATAATAATTTTACAAGTGCTTATCTTAAACGTAACAGAGAATGTTTCGCGCTTTTCCTAAGAAATTTGAAACACTTTTTTTTAGATTGCCATTAAGGTTCAAACATTCTAACTTACTGGGAGAGGGTCTTCCTTCCAACATCCACCTGGGATCGTATGGCGTTTTAGTTGGTGTGAAGGTAATTTCTCTATCTATAGGGTCTAGAGGTTTCAGGATAGAAACTGGTGACATTTTATCCTAAAAAAGACAATTAATTTAATCAAGGATAATCATAAAAAGCAAAGCGGTACTGATGCGGTACAATCTAGCCAAAAATTATAATTTCATATGTTCATCTTCATCGATCCGAGCCGTATTTTTGAAACCTTAGACGGGCCAAGGATTAGCCGACAGATCATCAGGCAAACTGATGGAAATATGGGTGGTTTTTCGTGATGTTCATGTCTTATAACATCTAATCAAATCTAATAAACATATGTCATCTTCGGAAAAGAGCAACCTACCTTAGGTATGTAAGAGAGCCACTGCAATATGGTATAAATCCCTTCTAGATCAGTTTGTTCAGTCTTATGTGTTACTCCATTATTGTACATAATCTGAATACCACCCAGTTGATTGTTTGAAGCGTACACTTCCCTACCAAGCAGCTAAAATAAAAACAAAATATATAGTTTGACGTACAAATATTGGCATTAGAAGTGTTATAATATATAAAGGGTGTCCGCAAAGTTGGGGTTTTCCTTTACACGACGTGTAGATCTTGAAAACATAAGCAATTTTTTTAGTACCATATACACCAATGTCTTAAGGGGACCGAGATAAAGGGCTCTGCAACATCAAAAATATCTGAATACCGTCCTGTAGCCGTGACATCACCGACTGGTACTAGGACACTAGCTCAACCCGACGACAGAACTGGGTCGTGGTCAGTGTATCAGGTCAGTATGCAACCTTCAACCGACGGTTACGGTCACACGTGTAGAGGTAATCGCGTAGACGAGAATCCCTCAACAAGCACTAGAGACGTGGCTAGAGAAGTGCAAGTATCAAAAACTAAAGTGTGGCAAACGCTGCGTGAAGAGGGGCTGTATCCGTATCACGTCCAACGTGTACAAGCCCTTCAACCTGACGATTTTCCAGCAAGAGTGCGGTTTTGTGAGTGGTTGTTGCATCAACATGACAAAATTCCGGACTTTTTGAAGTGCATATTGGTGACAGACGAATCTACGTTCACGCGTAATGGGGTGAATAACTTTCGCAACACTCATGTTTGGTCAGTAGAAAATCCGCACGCTGTCCGTCGGGCACATTTTCAACAAACATTTTCGGTGAATGTTTGGGCTGGCATGGTGAACGGTATGCTCATTGGACCATTTATTCTCCCAAATCGATTGGACGGGATGCAATACCTAGACTTTTTACGCAACATTTTGCCTTCCTTGTTAGAAGATGTGCCATTAAGTGTAATACAATCAATGTGGTTTCTGCGTCTGCTCGGTAGCGCATCAGCTGATTTCATTTTCTGTTGGAGCGGTATGATTTCGGGCAGAGACGTACTTAGCCCTTCTCGTCAACTGGAGAGTGAGTACTTTTTCCTTTATTTTTTTTACTTGTTCGCCCTCGTTTCACTACACATTACCTTTGTTATTTCAAGGGTAGTTGTTTCTGAAAAGGAAAACCCCAACTTTGCGGACACCCTGTATAATAATTTCTACAACTTGTTTTTTTGCCAACATAATGACTATATTTGAAGCATGCTGAGACAATAATATCAACGTTTTATTTTTGTTTACCTTTGTTAAAATGTTATCTCTTAGTTTTTGTGAAGAAATCAGTTTCTGAGAGCTGAGTGATACAAATATTTTTAGTTATTTGCTATTTCATTTAATAAATATTATTATTATTATTTAACTCGTCGCAACTCTGATTTTCTGAGTGATATCCTTTAAAATGGAAGCACAAACAAAAATATATCCCTGTTCTTTTATGTATTTTGCTTTTTCTCCATATACAGTAGCGGCCAAAAGTTTGGAAACATTCTTAGTAATTATTAAATAGTGTGCTAATTTCTTATTCTTTATTATCAAGGAATATTTTTTTTTTGCTTACAGTCTTAAGGGTACAAATGACAAATTGTGTTTGCTGTGGTACTACAGACTAGCATTAGAATACCTTCATATTATTTTATGACCAAAAATGATACGACAAAAGTATGGAAACATATTTTTTATTTCAAAATTAAATAGAATAACTCTAGAAAAGGATTTAAAAAATACACCAATTTTTTACAGACGTCTGTTGGGATATTTTGCCAAATATTTTTTAAATAATCAAATAAATCGTTCCTATTTTTAAAGTTTTTGTTGTTAGTTTGTCTTTTAACATCTCTATGTTCTATAGCACCAGTGCAGCGCCGAGCATCACAGTGCTGCGGGGTGACTCCGTGAAGGTGGGGGAGGGATTAGGCAGCGGCATACGCATCGCGATTAGAAATGACCTGGGAGCTGGTGAAATTGAGTATACCTTCATCGCGGATTCGACTAAATTTAGTAATATGTAGGTTTTAAGTAAATGAACAAGAAGAGCTCAGTACCGAAAAGCACTCAACATGGCGTCGTAAAAATCTCATTTGCATAAACATCTCAACGCCGTCAATGATTTCAGAAAAAAAATCTTTCGCACTTTTGCGCAGCCTAACCAGCGCGTAACACAATAAAAGGGTATGTCACCGTAAGTTGCTTCCAGCTCTTTTAAAAATACTTCAAACTGCCGTGGTTGAGACCTTGCTTTCTGCAGAAATTGACACGTGTTATTACTACATCCATAACAGATTTGAAATTACGGAAGGTTTTTGCACGTAGTTGTTCCTGATGTAATATGCAGTGTACCGATGATATCGGAGGTAGGCCAGCGTCGCTTACTTTTATTTTCATGCGCCCAGTAAAACCTTGTGCTTCCGATAACATTGCTGGCGCTCCATCAGTAACAACACTACGCAAACTTTTGAGCAGTATACCCAAGTCATTCATTGTGTATTCTGTGTATTGTGTATCTTCTTCCGGCCATTGTATCTTTGAGCGGGATAACGGTGATAGTAAAGACTATTTCGATACCTCTAACGAAAACAGCTAATTATGCTGTGTCAGAAATGTCTTTGCTTTCATCTAGAGCTATAGAATACTGCACAAAATGGGCACATTTTCCCGCAGTTGTTCTTTTAAATCTGCACCAAGTTCAAGTATCCGACGAGGAATTGTTTGCTCGGACATACTAATTGTCTCAAAGTTGCTTACAGCAGATGGGCACAATATTTCTGCGCACTCCACTAAGCATTCTTTGACAAGTGCACCGCAGTAAACGGTCTCCCACTTTTTGCGATTTTCAAAGCAACAATATAACTTGCATTACGACACCATTCATAATAATCAACTACGACCAAATTAATAATTACCTCTTCAGAACTTAGAAGGGCTGGTCTCAATACCGTGTGACAAATTAAACATTTTGCTTTTCCATCAGTATTTACAAAAAATAGGCTTCTTCCATGCAGGATTGAATGACATCGTTTAAAAAAAGATGCACGTTAAGACGCTAACAAACCTGACCACTTTGTCTTGTCCTATTAAGAAGTGGCCCGCGCCCGAGAGACAGTCGGCTAATATGTTTCTCTCTGTCGCGACGGCTGTGCGGTCGAGGTGGAGGGGGAACGGCACCGGTGCCGCTGGGTTCAGCACCAGAGCGCACCAGCACTAAGGCCCGTATCGTCAGTCGACCCTACAATTGTAGGGCGCGTTTATGGCCTCCTAGATTATCATACTCCTTTCTCTACTTCAAACATTTCTAGATTACACTTGTCCCGTGTCAGCGTCAACGCTCTCCTATTGTGAAAATATGTTATCCTTTTAAATTCTACGAAATTTCAGGCTGATAAAACATGATATAACTCAAAAGCAAGCACAATTTGATGCAAATAGATGTTTGTGACATAACCTCAAAATAGAGCACTGACATGGAAAAATAGAAAACTATGACAATCAAGGAGGCCATAAAGGCGCCCTACAATTGTAGGGGCGACTGACGATACGGGCCTAAGTGCTCGAGTTGGAGAGGCCTGTTCTATAGGGTTTAGGTCCGGGGATTGCGAAGGCCATGTAAGAACATTAACATTTTTTAGTCTTAACCAGTCGGTTACGAACTTTGAGGTATGCTTGGGGTCATTATCGCAAAGGCATTTCTTCTTCAGCAAAAGGGAGCATGTGTTCACTAAGAGTATCTTTGTAAAGTTTTTGATCAATTTTCACAACAATTTTAACAATTGGACCCGTTCTAGAACTAGAAAAACAGCCCCAAACCATGAAGTTACAAGAGTTTTTTTTTTAATGAGAGGCATTTGCACTGGACGCCTACCAAAAAGCCCAAAATCCACCAAGCGTCTCTGCACTGTTCTCATAGAAAGACTCTCGGCACCCTCTTCTACGATTCTTTTGAAAATCTGGCTGGCATTCGAGGATCTTCATGGGACAAACGTTTAATGTAGTGATCCAAAACATAATCGGTTTTTTCTGTCTTCCGCACCTGGGCCGTGTTGCTGTTGATCCGTATTCTTGATGTTTACTAATAATTTTCGAAATCGTTCTTCTTTTCATTTCTAATCTTTGAGAAATATCAACATTTCTGATATCACTTCTAGATTATTCAATCACTTTGACTCTTAAATCTTTTGAAAATTCTTTTACTTTTGCCATTCTCACTGATGTCAATATTTACCGCACGCAATATCAGAGTATCGCAGAACGAATAAATACGGCAAAACTGGTAAACTAAACGTTGTATTAGTACAGGAGCCAAACGTAGACTTTAATATTCATCCTGTATTATCTGTTCCTTCACAATTTTAATTTAGGTATATGAAATAGTTCATAATAATGTAAATATTTGTTTCCAAACTCTTGTCCGCTACTGTACCTATTAATCTGAACCTTACCTTATTCAACGCGCTGTATCCGGTCAGAATGATATGAGAGTTCTCGATCTGTATAACCCTCTGTCCCAATCTGACCAAATACGATCCGATACCGATCGCTCTGCACGTGACCATAGAAATCGTGACGATCTCGTCGTACGCCGCTGACGTTTCGCCTGCTATCATACCGGCGTATTTCAGATTCTCCACACCCAATCCGTCGTCCTTGCCTATGATGTCTGTCAGTTTGTATCGGGACTCTCCTTCGTCTTCTATCAATACCGCCCTTACGGAGTTGTGCGCACTTACTTTGGCGTAGTCCTCGGGGGTTAGGTACAGATACCTGAAATAGAAGTTGTAGGTGAGAACACGGAGGCAAATTACACTGATCAACAGCCAAAAAATATCCTAAATAAAATCAACAAAATATTACTATTTTTAATGTGCTAAAACCTGAATGAAACTTATTTTTTCAATATTAGTTCAAGTTTTAGAGATACGGTAATTATATGTGTTCCTGCTGTGACAGTGTTAATATACTGTAATTCACAAGAATGCACATGCTACATTTTTATATTCGGCAAGGAAAGATGATGTAATCGGCATGATTGTGTTACGTTATACATACGTGTACATTATATTGTTTTATATTAGCCATTTTTTCCTCAGTTGGTTGACAGCGTTCATGCAAGATGTCTCGAAAGTGTGTAAACAATCCAGATCAGTTTTGTTACGTGTGTGGTGATGTGACTTTTGCGTCTCAGAGACGGTCTATTACTCCACTAATAACAAAGGCATATCAGCTTTATTTCGGTTGTAAACTAGGTGATCAAGGCAAACAGTGGGCACCCCACATCTGCTGTAATACATGTGCTTCAAGTCTGAGGAGCTGGTTAAATGGCAAAAAACGGTCTATGCGCTTTGCTGTCCCAATAGTTTGGAGAGAGCCTACAAATCATATTAATGATTGTTACTTTTGCATGATACCTTGTGTTGGACAAGCCACAGGTATGTCCAAGAAAAAAAAATCTGTTATTAACTACCCAAACATACCATCTGCGATGAGACCTGTGCCTCACAGTGTCAAAAATCCTATTCCAAAACCCCCAGAATCCTACACTTGCGAATCAGAAAACGAATCAGATCATGGCGATCGAGTGATTCGTCAGGAAGAAGATATGCCATCAACGTCAAGAGATCCTGATTTTATACCGAGCACGTCATGCCACCAACCGCACAAAATAACACAGTCAGAATTAAATGATCTTGTAAGAGATTTACAACTTCCAAAATGTAAGGCAGAGTTGCTAGGATCAAGACTGCAGCAGTGGAACTTGTTAGAAGACGATGTTTCGGTATGTGTTTTTCGTAAACGCCACAAAGACTTAGAACCATTTTTCAATATGGAGAATAACTTGGTTTTCTGCAGTAACATTAACGGCTTACTGGCGGCTTTAAATATAAACTATAACCCAGAAGAATGGAGATTGTTTATAGACAGTTCAACATTGAGTTTAAAGGCAGTGTTATTGCATATTGGAAATATTTTACCATCTCTTCCTGTAGGGTATGCAGTTCACATGAAAGAATCATATGACAATATGAAGTACCTATTGACATGCATAAAATACGATGAGCACCAATGGCATATTTGTGGCGATTTGAAAGTTGCTGCACTTTTACTTGGGCTGCAGCTAGGCTACACAAAGTTTTGCTGTTTTTTGTGTGAATGGGACAGTCGGGCAAAGGCACTTCATTACACCAGACAAAACTGGCCTGTTCGTCAATTCCTAGAGCCAGGTCAAAAAAAATGTACAGCATAGGCCATTAGTAGATTCGAAAAAAAATGTATTACCACCACTGCATATCAAGTTGGGCCTTTGTTTGGGCCACAGATTCGAAATATTTTGAAAGATACACAGTTTGAAAACACTTTAACAGGTATTGAAAAAACTGCTTGGAATGATTTCCGTCTGGTGGTCACTAATTTCTTGGGAAATAGAAAAGCTGACAACTATAAAACCCTTGTCAAAAATATGCCGTCATCGTATCAAAAGATGGGCTGTAATATGTCTCGTTAAGATACATTTCCTACACTCACACCTGGACTTTTTTCCTGGCAATTGCGGAGCCGTAAGTGATGAGCACGGTGAACGTTTTCATCAGGATATTTCAACAATGGAAAAAAGGTACCAGGGAAAGTGGAATCCTTCCATGCTTGCAGACTACTGTTGGACTCTTGATAGAGATGCTCCAGAAACGATCCGTAAAAGAACAGCAAAAAGACAGCGCATATAGTGATTCTTATAAGTATATGAATCTTGTTACTTTTTTAATATATCCTTAAAAATAAAAAGTTTTTTTTCTAAACCGCAACTAATTTTTTTATTTCATTGTCATTTTTGGATTCAGCGCCCCAAAATTAACAAAGAAGTGCACTTTTCCCACAAGATACAATTAAAAAACTAAAATTTGTTGTCCAGTGTTATTGTAAAAACGGGTACTTTTCCGTTATAACCGAGCTTACCTCATTTTTATCAAAAATTAAAGGATGGAAGTGGCTATATGGAAAAAGCAAAAACTCATTCAAACATCTGAGTAGATATGTGGATAGTAAACTACTGTTTCAAAACCATTATATCAAAAATATCAAAAAAGATAAATCTCTCTATAGAGTTTCTCATAATATTGGTATGTATTCAAAAAAAAAGTGTACAAAACGATAATTCTTCCCCTTTTTTTATATTGTTCAACCAACTTGTTTACCGCAAAAGAAAACATGTTTTCAAAATTACAAATTCGACAAAATGAAACCATGAGAATCATTTTAAATAAAAACAAAAAATATGCTATGAATAAGCCGATGTTTGAAGAACCGCAGTGGTCGAATATAAAAAATTTCATATGTTATTTAGTTCTCATTTTCATTATCAAATCAAAAAATCATTTAGAAAACTTCACAATATTCAAAGTGATTATCATCACTATGAAACTAGGGGCAGTTTAGAGTTTCATCTGCAAAATTGTAATAGTACCATAACTAGCAAATTTGTATTTAAAAATGTTTAAGGTGAAATTAAAAAATAACTTTATGAATACTCAAAATGCACAAAGATGTAATTTCAACAGACAGAATGTATTACAGAAAATTGATTCAGAAAATGTGTAAAATTTTAAAAAATTAACATTGTAGCATTAATGCTAAATGAATCTTCAATAAACAAACAAAATTACTGAACACAGACGCCAAACATGGCCGTAAACTGGTTTTCTCCTACTAAATTGAGCTTTGCATACAAAAAACTGTTTTAAATGAAGTTAAAAAATTGTTATTGATCGTTTTTTGCAGATGTTTTCACGATTTTTGACGGTGTCATCAAGATCATATGAAATAACAGATCGACTAACTGTACTAAGTGCGAAGCTTAACCTTTGGAGAAATAGCGCACAAATAAATCTTCACACAGCTGGTTTAGCACATATTAATTGGGTAACGAAGGACCCTGTTTTTTTTTTTTCGAAGTAGCCACGCAGGCAGAAGCTTAAATTCCAGGGCACCGCGGCTGCTATGAAGGGCTTAAAAAAACTCCGATTTTTTAACTGCCTAAGGTTGGTAGAACTGGGAAAAACCTCCTCTTGTAGATTGCTCCACAATCTCGATACCCTAGGGACAAAGGAGCGGTCGTATCGGCCAGTTCTGGATGTACGAAGTTCGATACGGTTAGGATGGGAGGCCGAAGTCAGGCGGGTATGTCTGGCAGACACATCGCGCGGCGGAATTTTACCGAACAATGATTATTGGCGAAACCGATCATGATTGGAAGCGAGCAATAAAACAAATGAATTTTTACATAAGAACGTACCTAAATCCTCTGTCAGGTTCCTTATTATCTTCCCAAGCTATCCTGAATACGTTTTTCACCTCTTCAGCCAAACCAATTCGAGCACCACTGTTTGCAGAAATATAAATCCTTGGGATTTTCAGTTTTCTCGCAAATTCACTAGCTAATCCGAAAACCTGAAAAGTAACAGTTTTAAAACAACTAAAATAATGCCAACTGTGAACCTGTATATTGCAACAGTATAACCATACAAATCGAGATGAAAATCCCGGTTTTTCGGTCGCAGGTTAATTAGAACATTGCTCTTAACTTACAGTAATGGACAAAAAGGATATGGACAAATATGAATATTTACCTAAATACCTTTAGAAAACGAATTCATACTTAATTGCGTTATTAGTAGAAAAACTAAATTCCTTATTTTTACATTATCTGCAATGAACACAATACAAGTCTGAATATAAGCGCTTTTTTATGAACGTCAAAAATATGTAGACAAATTCTTTTCAACATTAGTTTAGTACAGTTTCGTGTCAGAAGAGGATCAGTTTATATTCATCAAGTATTGTGGAATAAGTTGAGTGATTTTAAGACCATGCCGCGTGGACCAGAAATTTCTTTCGATGTGAAAACTAATATCATTGAGTTATACAAAGATGGTCAACGTCAAGTCGACATTGCCAAAAATTTGAAGCTGAAGCGTAAATCAGTTTGGGCAATATTGAACAAATATAAACAAGAAGGTACCTTGGAAGCCTCTAAGAGAAGTGATCGGCCTAGAAAACTAAATGCTAGATCAGTTAGATTAATAAAAGTAATTTCGTCTAAAGATCAGTTTAAAACCCCAAGACAAATAAAAGCCGAAATCGAGACAAAAGGAAATTTCAGTGTTTCTACGAAAACTATAAGTAGTCTCGAGGAAAAACCGTAAGGACCGATTACAATTTGCACAGTTGCATCTTGATTGGAGCATCTGTGACTGGAAGAGGGTATGTTTCAGTAACAAATCCAAGTTCAATATGATTGGATCAGATGGTGTTCATTACGTTAGACGTCCTAGTGGACAAAGATTGAACCCCAAGCACACTTTGCCCACTGTCAAACATGGAGGCGGGTCTGTTATGGTCTAGAGGTGCCTTTCGGGGTTTGGGATGGGACCTTTACATAGAATAGATGGCATTATGGATAAGTTTGTATACACAGACATACTAAAGCATGTCATGTTACCCTACATGGAAGACAATATGCCCTCAAGATCAATCTTCCAGCAAGATAATGACCCGAAGCACACTTCAAATCTCGCAAAGAAATTCTTTCTGGATGAAAAAATACCAGTTCTCAAATGGCCTTCACAGTCTCCCGATATAAACCCCATTGAAAATCTATGGGAATACTTAGATAAGCAAATACGAGATAAAAATTATTCAATCAAGGATGAACTTTTTGCCGCTTTAGAGCAAAAGTGAAGACATATTGATGATTTTTTTATCAAGAAACTTCTACAATCTATGACGAGACGATGCCAGGCGGTGATTGATAATAATGGTTATGCTATAGAATATTAACACAAACATGGTTGGTTTTCTATAATTCAATGAACTTTGCTTCTTTTTTCTATAATTGTTTTGTTGTCTATATATTTTTGTCCTTCATAGTTCCAGTTTTTTCAATTAATTTTTTATTGACGGGAGTCTAATGCATTTATTTATGTATAAGTGAGTATTATGCTATAACGAATTATGTATACAGGGTTGGTGTATTAATAAAACAAGTTAAAAAAGAAATACAGCACAATATTAATTTGTCTATATACTTTTGTCCATTACTGTATATCTATGGAAAAGCGTTTTTCAATATCATGTTTGTAGTAAAACAGTAGTTAAATTTAGCCAGCTAGTTAGTTAGAAATACCTGACGTTTGTTAACACAGACTTTGGCGTTTATTCAAAAATTAACAAATTCATATCAATTTATCGATAAATATAAATTAAAATTGTTTACAAAAAGGATTGTAGCTCTAGGAAACTGTGCCATTTTTCGCTCTCTATTATGCTTTTATTTTTAGTCACCAATGATAATGAACACTATTTCCTCTTCGTTTGAGAAATTTTGTGCTCCTTTTTTATGTTCTCTTTCTCCATGCTAGAAAACAGTTTTAGCAACAAACACGTTATTAATTACAAGTTAACTTCCTGGTTATAGTTAGCTAACCAGAAAGTTAACTTGAAAATGAAAAACCGAGCCTGTTGATTGAAAACCGATATGTAACTGGATATACTTATTTTTATAACTTTTTGAATTACCTTATCCTCCCTGGGTCCAAAAGATCCGATCAAGTAGGTTAAATCGTTGGCGATAACAATGATATCTCTACCATCTGGATATTCTGGGGTATTCAGGGTCAGTCTCCAAGCTACCATACCAACATTATTTTCACCAGGTACCCGTTTCTGTTCGATCAGCCTTGTCTCGGTTTCAGGATCGAGGATCAATTCCACAAAGTCCATCAGTTTATCTGGGACCTTAACATGTTCTGAAACAATAATGTAACATAAATCTCATGTATGTTATAATTTAGGGGTTGAGAATCACATAGTGAGAAAGAGAAACTAGGATTCTAAAATTCTAAAATACTCTACAGAAACAGCAAGAAGACTGAAGAACAACTTCAGTTGAGAAATAATGCACTGTAACAGTATTTTTAGATTTCAAAAGGGCATTTGAAACTATAGATAGGGCAAAATTGAAATTACAGCGACCTATCTGCCCACACTATTTTTCCTTACCTGACAACCTTTCTCTACAATAATACTTCCACTGCTTATCAACCATCTGCCTGAACATATCAGGGAAATCGTAGACATAGGTGGTGCCAGATGACTGAGCTTGGAACCTCTTCTGCTGCAAAAAGTCCTTGGGAATATAAGGTGTTGAGATCGGCAGCCCATGCAAAGGTCCTTGCTTATCACCATAAGCCTGGAACTTTATTATACCTACCGAAAAAAAAAACAATAAACAATAATTTTAATAAATTTAAATATTCATTCCTACGAGGCTTGTCCCTAAAATATGCTACTTTTGTTATACAGGGTGTCCGCAAAGTTGGGGTTTTTCTTTACACGACGTGTAGATCTTGAAAACATAAGCAATTTTTCTTAGTACCATATACACCAATGTCTTAAGGGAACCGAGATAAAGGGCTCTGCAACATCAAAATTATCTTAATACCGTCCTGTGGCCGCGACATCCCCGAGTGGTACTGGGACACTAGCTCAACCCGACGACAGAACTGGGTCGGGGTCAGTGTGTCAGATGAGTATGCAACCTTCAACCGACGGTTACGGTCACGCGTGTAGAGGTAATCGCGTAGACGAGAATCCCTCAACAAGCACTAGAGACGTGGCTAGAGAAGTGCAAATATCAAAAACTAAAGTGTGGCAAACGCTGCGTGAAGAGGGGCTGTATCCGTTTCACGTCCGACGTGTACAAGCCCTTCAACCTGATGATTTTCCAGCAAGAGTGCGGTTTTGTGAGTGGTTGTTGCATCAACATGACAATAATCCGGACTTTTTGAAGTGTATATTGGTGACAGACGAATCTACGTTCACGCGTAATGGGGTGAATAATTTTCGCAACACTCATGTTTGGTCAGTAGAAAATCCGCACGCTGTCCGTCGGGCACATTTTCGGTGAATGTTTGGGCTGGCATGGTGAACGGTATGCTCATTGGACCATTTATTCTCCCAAATCGATTGGACGGGATGCAATACCTAGACTTTTTAGGCAACATTTTGCCTTCATTGTTTGCTTGCGTCTGCTCGGTAGCGCATCAGCTGATTTCATTTTCTGTTGGAGCGGTACTTAGCCCTTCTCGTCAACTGGAGAGTGAGTACTTTTTCCTTTATTTTTTTTTACTTGGTCGCCCTCGTTTCACTACACATTACCTTTGTTATTTCAAGGGTAGTTGTTTCTGAAAAGGAAAACCCCAACTTTGCGGACACCCTGTATACTTGAATTTGTAGAGATCACAACCGATCAAGAATTACTTAAGGAGACTCTCTAAGCATAATCCTTATTTCACTCAAATGTCAAATACGAGCAGGAATTATCACTGCATGGCTTTTTGCGCCTAAATTAACTACCTATTGTAGAATAATCGAAAAGCTACCTGTTTCAGGATCTTCAATCTCTGTATACAGGTTGATGTCGAGGTAGTATCCACTGTCGTTAGCGATACATAACCTCAAAGGCGTCGTTTCAGCGTTAGGAGCAGAACGAATTACCAGCTTTATCTCAGCCTGCAAGACACGTAACTTCCAAAGCCTTGGTCCATATCGCATTACCATACTCGTCACAGCTTCTTCAATCTGAAATATAAACATACATAGATCATTAGAATAACCTATATTAGAATCATGGAGGAGAGTGCTGTTATTGGGCTAACGAAAATCCACGACAGTTACACGAAAGACCGCTGCACACCCCAAAAGTGACGGTTTGGGACGCCGTATCGCAAACTTGCATGATTGGCCCTTACTCGTATCGGTGACAGATCGTAATACAAAAACATCAATAGATATGAGCAATTATGTCCGTCCAGGATATCCGTCATCATTTTGTCTACAATGCATGATGCTATAGAATAGTATAAAACTCAATTATTCAATAATTCTCACCTTTGTTGGGTCCATTATAACGCTGGGAACAAAGCTGAGGAATACATGGTTGCAGTCTGTCTTTTTCGACTGTGGATGCGAGAATGCGATCTCCAGCTCGTCCATGGCTTCTAACAGTACGCGTTCACCTTCGTTTTGTAGATACTCAAAAGATGCTTCTTTAGTTATCAGATCCGAATGTCGAATAATTGTTCTGATGAAGAATCTGTAATCAGTAATTTCTTTGCCGCCCTTAGCTTTGCCCAGGTATAGATGCATTTTCTGGTTGGAAGTTGGTAGAGCTTCCAAATTGTAGGACCGCATTCTGTTAATTTCCAGCTGGTAGGCACATGCAGGTTCCAGGTGACGATATATCCTGTCTTCCACGAAATTATCTCTTGCCCTGAAAAGCGGGAAAACACGATATAGCAGGCATTTTGAGTATTTATCAAAAGTACCAGAAAAAATTCTATAATAGATGAATAAGAGTAAACTGGTTCTTACCTACAATCCTTTCCTAGCATTTTATGAACAACTTGTGAATATTTTTCTTGACAGTTAAAATTAAGAGTAAAAAACCGTAAATCTCAAATGGATAATATTATCTCGAAATTGGAGATCCTTACACTATATCAAGAAATTTATAAAAAATTAAAGTTTCAATAACCACTTTATGACGTATCATAGCAACTTTTAGATTCAGCAAAAAAGAATTTAACCAGAAAATATACTAAGTGACATATAAATCCGAACACCCAGTTTAAATGGTTTTATTTTAATAAAATTTTGTATAAGTACTTAATGGAGCATAATAAGTAAATGATAAAAATTTCAAAATGATTGCACTGAGGAGGACGTTGCAAATTGAGCAATCTCCTACCCATCATATCCCACACGTGCTCAATTGGGGATAAGTCGGGAGATCTTGGTGGCCATGGTAACAATGTGACATCATGTTGAAAGAAGTCTATTGTGACTCTTGCAACATGTGGTCGGGCATTATCTTGTTGGAAAGTTGGATCTGTCAGGGTATCAAGATAGGGTAAAAGATGGGGTTCTAGAACTTCGTGGATATAACGCTGCGCGTTCATGTTACCTCTGATGAAGATTAAAGGTGACCTGGAACCATAAGCTATAGCACCCCAAACCATAACTCCAACAGTGTGATGAATATGTCTTTCAACAAAAAACTGTGAATTCCTCCTTTCACCACGTCGCCTTCTAACCCTGGCACGACCATCGTGCATGCCTAAACAAAATCGAGACTCGTCACTAAAGACAATACTGTTCCATTCCTGATCCCAGAGTGACCGTTGTCTGCACCACTCAAGGCGATTACGTCGGTGTTATCGAGTTAAAGGGAGGACCCAGTGTGGCCGGTATGAAAACAAGCCAAAACTTCTCATTCGTCGGTAAACACTTCGCATGCCAATAGGTCTTCCGTGTTCTGCAAACCATTCATTTGCAATGGACCTGGTAGTGGAGAAACGGTCCCTTAAGGCCAATAATCTTAGGCGGCGATCTTCACGGTCTGTTGTTCTACGGCGGCGTCCAGTGCCCCTTGCTCTTTGCGTACGGCCTTCTCGAAGCCATGCCTGACAACACCTAACCACAGTGTCTACACTTCTTAGCTCTCTAACTGCAATTGCCCGAAAAGAAAGTCCAGCTTCCCGAAGTCCCACTATACGGCCCCTATCAAACTCACTAAGTTGACGAAATCGTACAGGTCTCCGTACTCTAGGCATCGTAACCGATCGTAAAGGATGTCAAGAACCAAAATCCGCCAACGTTGATTCTTTACTGCGGCTGAAATATTCATTTTTAGAGCGTTAGTGAATTAAAAAAAAGCAGTATAAAAACCGGAATGTCCAACTGATAAGGGTGAAAATTTTTTCACTTGTTATTTACAGTAAGATAAATACATTCACCAACTTTTATTAAAATAAAACCATTTAAACTGGGTGTTCGGATTTATATGTCACTTAGTATAATAAGTTCAGGAAATAAAACCAAGGAGACATGGAAAGTTGTAAATGAATTAAATGCAAACCTCTTATCTCCATCAACATACCACCTATAAATTATGATTTACTAAACCATTATTACAGCACAATAGCAGATAAACTGAACAATACTATATAAAAATACTCATGATCCGTTAACAAGTCTAAATCATATAAATATAGTTTTGTTGTTTCTACCTTTTCTTGCATTTAATAAGTGCTTGTTCAATATTCATCACAACTAGGTAAGTAACTTAAAAATTCGAAATGAAAGACAAAGCTTTATATACGATGACACTGACTGATGCTAAATGTTCGTCCTAGTATCCATGATTATTATTGTTTGCCATGCATGCCATTATTATAATTTAGTTGAATTTTATTATAAACTCAAATAGCTTCACAATGATTGAAGATACGTATAAACTTCATACAAAAGTTACTAGAAACTTCTTGGAAAATCTAAAACATTCTAAAAATTGGTGGTTTCCATTCAAAAATCTAAAGTGTAACGCAATATCTTATTTTTTGATCACCCTGTATTGTACGGCTATACAGACATCCCCTAGAAATCAATATTGACGTGTCCGAGCATTTTTTCCAAAATATACCAAGCGAGTCCCAATTATATAGCTACATTCGGGGCTTTATTTGTAAATCTTAAAATAATGATCAACATATTGTCCATTTGAGAAACAGCAACTCTAATTTTTAAAGGTAAATCTAAATTTAAAACATTAAATATAAATTACGATATTAGACGAAAACAAGATCTCAAATTGTAGTGCATAAAAAATACGAGGGTGGTCCCAGAAGTACCCGGCCTGGCCTAGAGATGGCGATAGTTGTTTGAAAAATATCATTATGTGTCAAGTTTGAAGACGCCACGTTGTTTAGTATTTGTTTGGCAGCCATCAATACTGAACGTTTTCAGTGAATTTGTGAAAATGGAGAAAATTGGACATCATTATATGGTACAATACTTTTATTTAAAAGGCCTCAGCCCAACCAATATAAAAGCTGAACTGGATTCTACTCTGGGTGAGTCTGCTCCTTTGTTTACAACAGTAAAATATTGGGTAGCAGAGTTTAAACGAGGCCGTATGAGCTGCCAAGACGAGCATCGCAGTAGTCGACCAAATGAGGTGACGACTCCAGAAACGGTGAAGAAAATTCACAAAGCGGTACTGAATGATCGTGGACTGAAAGTGCGCGAGCTAGCAGACATAGTATTCATTTCAAAAAGTGCGGTTCATCGCGTATTATCTGAAAATTTGGACATGAGTAAGCTATGTGCAAGATGGGTGCCGCGATTGCTCACAATCGAGCATAAACAGTGTCGTGAAGATGTTTCAATTGAGTGTTTAGCGAAGTTTCACAGCAATAAAGCAGAATTTTTGCGTCGTTTCATGACCAAGGATGAAACATGGGTCCATCACTTCACTCTCGAGATAACAGAACAATCAAGACAATGGACTCAAAAGGGACAACCGGCTCCAAAGAAGGCGAAGACCGTTTCATCTGCAGGCAAGGTTATGGCGCCGGTTTTTTGGGATGCGCGTGGGATAATTTTCATTGACTATCTTGAAAAAGGTAAAACTATCAACGGCGAGTATTATGCGAACTTATTGCAACGTTTAAGCGATGAAATCAAGCAAAAACGGCCGCATTTGGTTAAGAAGAAAGTGTTGTTTCATCAAGACAATGCACCAGCTCACAAATCCGTTATTGCAATGGCAAAAATTAACGAATTAAAGTTTGAATTGCTACCTCATGCACTCTATTTACCAGATTTAGCCCCCTCGGATTATTTTCTGCTTCCAAACTTGAAAAAATGGCTCAGTGGTCACAGATTTTCCAACGATGAAGAAATGATGTCGGCAGTTAATGCCTATTTTGAGGAACAAGACAGTTCTTATTATAAAAAGGGTATCGAACTTATTGAACATCGCTGGGAAAAGTGTATAGAGCTCAAAGGAGATTATGTTGAAACATAAATACATTTTTTTACAAAAATTTTGTGTTTTCTTCGTTGGTTCTGGGACCACCCTCGTACTATGAAAAACTCAATAATTTATCATGGTTTGAAAATGTATATGTGTCTCCCTGATGCTATCAAAGGAATTAACAATTTAACGATATTGCCCCGTGAACTTAAAAACTTTTTAATATGCAATCCATATGAGGCCCTGTGTGAGTTCTACAATTCACCTACTCAAGATCCACTTGCGTAATTATATTATAGTTTAGTTTTAAGTTAGTTTGTCATTAAACATGATTGTATTCTTCAATCTAATTTTGTATAGAGAAAACATCTTACCTGTAAGTGAAATACTTCGGCGACTGCTTGTGCTTGAGTACAGTAAACGTGATCCGCCTGATTTTCCTCGCGACCAGCTCTTCTCTGTATTTCGCGCAGAAAGCAGCGAACATCTTGCCCATCGACGAATCATCCTTGTCTCCGTCATCCTTGATCGCGATAATCAGGATGTGTATCGGCTCCTGGACGATATGCTCCTCGACGATGCTCGTCCTTCTCGCGTCCAAGCTCAGACTGACGTCGATCGAGGTGCTATTCCCTTTCGACTCGGAACCGCTGTCCATCGCGTTCAGGTCTTTGGTGGAAATCGTCGCCGGGCTGGCAAAGTCCTCGATCAGGTCAAAGATCTCATCCGAGTTCTCCTCGAATTGCGGAAAGTTTTCGAAAGCTGCCATGCAGCCGGTTCGTTGGAATGTGTCGATGATTTTCGGTTGCTCCCGCGTACCTTCTGCAAAGATATGAGTAAGATGTTATGTCAAGTGTTCAAAATATATCAGTAGGGGTGTCACAGGGGAGTAAATTACTATTTACTATTTATATAATGGGTGATTATTTTGCTAGTATCTTTTTGGCAACACTGTTTTTGACAGATGACGCGTGAATCGTGTCTTGTGTCATTGTCAAACTTGTTCAGTTTGGTCTATAATTTAACCATGAATCGACTTACGAACGAACAACGCTTGCCAAGTATTGAATTTTACTGTCAAAATTCATGCTCGGTTAAGAGAGTGCATCGAGCACTGCCTCCAATTTATGGGCAATTTGGTCGGCCTACTGAGGAAGCTATTCGGAGGCTTGTGACTAAATTTCGAACCCAGTTTACATTATTGGACATTAAACCACCAACACGCAGACGTAGAGTGAGGACTGAAGAAAATATTGCGGCTGTATCCGCCAGTGTTAGTGATGACCGTGAAATGTCGATTCGCCGCCGTTCGCAGCAATTGGGACTCTGTTACTCCACTACGTTGAAAATTTTGCGACAGGATTTGGGTGTAAAACCTTATAAGATACAGCTGGTGCAAGAATTGAAGCCACACGACCTCCCACAACGTTTCCAATTTGGTGAATGGGCGTTGGCAAAGTTGGAGGAAGATCCACATTTTTATCGAAAAATTGTGTTCAGCGACGAAGCTCATTTCTGGTTGAATGGGTACGTTAACAAGCAAAATTGCCGCATTTGGAGTGAAGACCAGCCAGAAGCATTGCAAGAGCTACCAATCCATCCCGAAAAAATCACTGGAGTGGATTATGGGCCGGTGGCATCATGATGGCCGTACTTCTTCAAAGACGACAATGGCCGGAACGTAACTGTGAATGGCGAGCGCTACCGTGCGATGATAACAAACTTTTTTTTGCCCAAAATGGAAGAGCTGGACTTGGCTGAGATGTGGTTTCAACAAGACGGTGCCACATGCCACACCGCACACGAAACAATGGCCCTATTGAGAGGCGAGTTCGGTGAACAGTTTATCTCACGTTTGGGGCCCGTCAATTGGCCGCCTAGATCGTGTGATTTAACGCCGTTGGACTATTTCTTGTGGGGCCATGTTAAGGCTAATGTCTACAGGGATAAACCAGCAACGATTGACGCACTGGAAGCCAATATTGAAGCATTTATTCGTGAGATACCGGCCGATATGTTTGAGAGAGTGTATCAAAATTGGACCATCTAAAGCGGAGCCGCGGCCAACATTTACATGAAATAATCTTTAAACATTAAATTATATCGACCGTTCTATCGACTCAAATAAAGATTTAATCGTTTTTTCAAATTTTTTTTGTTTTTTTTGAAAATCAAATCCTATACCTCTTAAAAATTACCCGTTAAATGATATCTCTGACATTTTAGAACACTGCAAAATTCAAATATTTGCGGACGATTCATATATATATTCATATATATATAGCATAAGCATTTAGACATTGCTTTAGAACTGTTAAATAGTGATATTGAAAAACTTATGAATTGGTTAAATGTCAATAAACTCATGATTAATGATGAAAAAATTGAAGTAGTCGAGTCATTTAAACATCTTGGTATATATTATGTCGATATTAAGCTACTGTTTCACGAACATTATGAATACATCATTTCAAAAATATCGAAAAAGATAAATTCTATAGAGTTTCCCATAATCTTAGTATGTATTCCAAAAAAATTGTGTATAACACTATAATTCTTCCCCATTTTTTTATATTGCTCAACCATCTTGTTTACAGCAAATAAAAACATTTTCAAAATTACAAATTCTACAAAATAAAGCTATGAGAATCATTTTAAATAAAAACAAATATACTAGGATTAAGTCTATGTTAGACGAATTGCAGTGGTTGGATGTGAAAAATTTCATATATTATTTAGTTCTCGTTTTCATATTCAAATTAAAAAAACATTTATTACCACCATATATAGAGAACGTCAAAAATTAAATAGTCATTATCATAACTACGAAACTAGAGGCAGTATAGATTTTCATCTGCAAAATTGTAATAGTAGCTTAACTAGTAAATCTATATTTCAAAAGGGAGTAATTGAATTTAATAAACTGAATAATGATATTAAACAAAGTTCGAATTTAAAAATGTTTAAGGTGAAATTAAAAAATCACTTTATGAATAATCAAAATACATAGTGACGTAATTTCAATTTTAATAGACAAGAATGTAGAATTACAGAAAATGGATTGAAGAAAAATATGTAACCGAATCATTATACAACATTGACATTGTAGCATTAATGCTAAATACATCTTCAACAACAACAAGATAATACCACCGGTACACCATCGAAATCCAGCCATAACTATCGTGAGATATGAAGAAAATTCTGAACACCGCAGAGTCAACTATACCCGTGTTCTCACTACAGTGAATTTTCAAGCGTCACCAAGTCATTAGAAAAATGGAACTCAACCGAGAACATGTTCGCGCCATAATTTATTACAACTTTCAGATACAATTATCGCAACAAGAATGCCTTGCTGAGTTACTATCTGTTTTCGGCAACGAAGCGTCACATCAGTCGACAATTTCCCGTTGGTATGGAGAATTCAAACTTGGACGGGTGAGTCTTAGCGATGATCCCAGGGTGGGTGCACCAAAAACGGCAGTCACCCAGGAAAACGTCGATGCTGTGCGCAAACTGAAGATAGACATATGACATATCGCGAGATTGGGGCGTCCTTGAAGATCTCAAAGAACTCAATTCAAAAAATTTTACATGAATTAGGAGTAAGAAAATTAGTTTCTCGTTGGATACTCCACCTGTTGACTGAAGAGCAGAAAGCAGCCAGGGTTAATTGGTGTCAAAAAACGCTTGACCGTTTCAATTCCGGAAACTCAAAAAATGTGTACAGCATTGTTAGTGGTGATGAATCATGGATTTACTGTTATGAACCAGAAAATCAACGACAGTCGGCTGTTTGGGTGTTCCAAGGTGAAGAAAAGCCAACAAAAGTCATCCGTTCTCGAACTGTTTCGAAAAAGATGGTCGCGACATTTGTGTCAAAAGCAATATTGCAACAATTCCTCTTAATGAGCAAAGAACTGTTACTGCGGATTGGTATACCACCATTTGTTTGCCAAAAGTCATCACCAAGCTTCGAAAAATCAACGCCGAAAGAAGAATCATCCTCCACCAAGACAATGCAAGCTCGCACTCTGCCCCAAAAACAAGGCAGTATTTAACGGAAAAAAACGTGGAATTATTGGACCATCCTCCATATAGTCCCGATCTAAGTCCTAACGATTTCTTTACTTTCCCGAAAATTAAAAACAGACTGCCTGGTCAAAGGTTCCAGTCACCAGAAGAAGTAGTCGACGCATTCAAAAATGACGTTTTGGATCTATAAGTGCTTCGAAAATTGGTTCGAGCGCATGCAGATGTGTATTAATCTTTGTGGAGAATACTTCGAAAAACAATAAAGTCATTTAAAACTACCTACCGTGATGTTTTATTTCCATATGCAAAACTTAAAAGACATCCCTCGTACTCCAGAAACGATTCGTAATTGTTTTCGACATACTGGTTTAGTGAAAAACATAACTGAAATAGTCAACGATTTGAAGAAGATGAAATTCCATTAAGTGATTTACTGAAAATCAAAAGTTTACTGAATATAGACAAATTTAATGAGTATGTAAATGTTGACAATAATTTAATAGCAACACAGGAATTGTCAGACTCCAATTTGGTTAATGAAGGATCCGTTGATAACGAGCAGGAAGACGAACTAGAAAACAACGATGAAGAAGAGCTGCCAGTGATAACTAAGGAGGCATTAGACTGCGTGAGAAAGTTGCAACGTTATTCTCAGCTAGAAGAAGATAGTACAGCCACACTTACCGAATTAAATAAAATTCAACTTGCTGTTCTAAATAATTATATAAAAAAACAACCTGTACAAATGAAACTTACTAGCTCTTTTACCAAATAGTTTACGGTTTTTACACATACCTACACAATACGTATGCGTGTAATAGTGTATCAGATTCCGGAAAAATGCAAATTTCAAAATTACGTACAACTTTTTTGTATGTATCTTGTAATATATGTTAAACAAACACATTTCTGATGCTTTTTTCATTTAAAAAAAAAAGTGTTTCTTTTAAGATGGTCATCCGTCTATAATAGACTATTTGTCACAGTCCTGCCGAGTTCGTTATAAGCGGGTTGCGCTGTATGTTACTTGAAATTATCGTTTGGTCTCCTTACCAGTCAGTTCTGTAACACAGTCAAGCTTCACCAGTCTGTTAGGGTGATTCGGCGGTAGGGTAAACATAAAATGAACCACAGGTACTTCTCCACTGAGCTCCAAATGTTGTAAACAGCTTAGATTGTAACTGGTATAGGCTCTTCTAACGTAGACCTCCAATGCAGCATTACAAACAGCCCTAGAATCAAAATCTGAAGATAGTATCCGGCGTGGATCGAAGGCAACATATCAAACTCAATCTCAAAAAAACGAATGGATCATGTCCAAGACTTTTTACATTATGAAAGTCTGATGTCCATTTAAGCGGAAGAGGAAACATGTCATAAATGGAGGGTACCGGGGAATAACGACAATAGTCCATCCGGACTGATTTTGAGAACATCGGTAATTAAGGTTTACTTACTTGTCGGAAAGTAAAATTGACGAAAAAATAAGTCATTAAGAATATATTTGCTAAACAGTGTGTTTATTGGTAAAATAGATTTTACAAAATGAACTTTTACTCAAAACTAGCAATTTTTCAATTCATCTCTCCAGTCATCCGGTACCTGAGTGTATGCTCTTTGGCTCACGAGACTCATATCTCTTATCACACTCGAGGTATGAATGCCCCCTGATCGGGAATATTATTTTCACAGTAGTAAAACGGTTTTTCTTGGTAACCAAGTAATGCAAAAACCGAATAACTGTAAAGTTTTTATTTTGCCCTGCACAGGAGTCACAGAAAATGGCAAGTTATTTTACTTCCATAGGCAGGAAGTTATAAAAAAGTGATACAGCATAGAACAGACATCGTCAGCTCCTTTCTTAGCAATACATTCATCGTAGGTATAAAAGATAGAATTTGAGTTTGACAGAATGTGGATGTTAAAACTGATGAAATTTAGTTGCCGCTTATAGTAAACATCATTTGGCGTGATATTTGGACAGGGCAAGTTCTTTTGGTAATCCATCGTGATACTTTCGATAGCAGGAAACTTCTCTTTAGACTGTAAAATCGCTCACTCCTTTTTTGATGTAGTGTCTTCTCAAGTGTCTTTTTCTCCAAATTATTACTTGCTGACTGCCTAGTTTGTTCCGTGTGGGAATTTAAGGTAGCGGTAAAGATTTCTCGGAAGGATTCATAGGAAATCTTGTTTTCAACTTTGCTAATAGAATATATTTTATGCAATTTTGCGATATTTAGATTTTCAGGCAGGTAAACTTTTTGCGAATCTGCCAAAGGATAATGAGATTTGCGGTATTAATAAACTCGGTCACTTTCTGTTTTGTGTTTTCTGAAAGTTTTTGAATTCGTGTGTTGTGTTTTCCTCGCATGTCGATGGGCGATTTCCCAGTTGCAACTAACGAGTCTCTTATGTACCGCACTCGACAAAGGGTAATTCCGTGTAAAGACAAAAAAGCCTTAAGACAAACTGGAACATTTTCAACTAATCGGACACGATAACTAAATGAAGCCTTATTAAGCCTTGACTCTGCTTCATTTTTTCGAGGGCGTCTACGCATGACAGGAAGAACAGCGATAAGACCACTAAGATAAGCGTTTTGTTTCCTAGTTCGTTAAATTCACGAAGAAGTCTACAGCGTTCAGGTTCAGGAACAGTAGTAAAACAGCGAAAACGTCCACAAAAACAATCCAAGTTCGTGGGTAATGGCGCGCAACGTTTTCATTACGTCTCTTTGTCTTCCTGTGTCCATATGGACTGATGCCGTTTTTCCATACACGCGCTGCCATTCTTCCCCGGCACAGGGAATCTTATAGCTGTTGTTTAGTGAACCTAGGCCCTTTGTTACAATTTAAAAACCTGATTACAAGATAGCATCAGGAAAATGCCACCAAAATAAACTGAAACTCCATTTAGCCAAATAATGGACTAACGCCGTTTTTCCCCGGTACCCTTCAAACGTGTGTACCAATGTTTCTCAAAATATATTTCTTGATTCTCTATTAAGTGACGTGTATTTACCTGTTCATGTGGTAGAAGAAGTCGTGCAGAATATCGAATATTGACGTTTCGGAAACAATGAGCTTTTGAAGATTCTCCGGGTGGAATTCGTGTCCGTACATATCGACCGCCGAAAGGAATATGCTTTCCATCTGGTTATGTCTCAGCTCATACGCCGGCTGGTGAGCTGCGATCAGCACTTGTCTTGCTCTGAGAGCCACCCGAGAATGTTCGCTGCGATTTAGTGATGTCAGTTCCGTCAAACAACTGGCAAGTTCATCTGTCAGGCCTGGCTCGTTGCCCCACAGGTGGTCTATCAACATGGTAACAAGCAGGTTCTTCTTAGCTACCTGGAACCCAACGAACATTTCAAGTTATAGTTACGTTAATTCGTCCACAAAATATGTTAAAAAGATTGCACAAAGGGTACTTTAAAAGTTTTGCAATATGACTTAATAAACGGACGCAGGAGGCTGCGTGTTGAGACATGACCATGAGTGCATAGTAACCACCAGCAGCACGTCTGCTGATTTAGTAGTTCATTCATATTGACAGTGAACAGTGCGAACTATGGCATCGTGGTCAAGTAGTGAGATAAAGGCAGTTTTACGGTATAACTTTACGCGTGGTTCAAGCATAGACCAGTACTTAGAAGAAATGACGTACGACTATATTCAGGTGGTACAAAGGGGCAATTTCACTCTGGAGGAGGCTGAGAGGGAAGGAAGGCCGCGAACGTCAGTTACAGAGGAAAACATTACTGCTGTGAGGAAAATGCTTGACGAAGACCGAAGAGTGACATACCAACAGAAAGAGGAGACCTTACACTTCATGCATCAGCAACTCATTCAATTCTGCATGACCTTTTAAACGTAAGGAAACTTTCTCTCTGCGTACCGTATGAATAAATCAATTACGGAATAACTATCTAATAAAATACGAAATACTAAACGACTGAAGACTATTACGGAGTTGTTATGCGAGTACATAAAACTATTTTAAAGTGTTATTTACCTGGCTATGGGAAAACAGTGTAGCGGTAACAGCGGTCATGTCATCTTTATGTTTCTCACGTAACATTGATACACATTTATCATAAGAACCATATAGAAACTGGCTTTCAACTTCGTAGTACTGCTTCAGGAGTTCCTGGACAGCCTGCTTCATTCTTCCACGTATACCATTCCTATACCTGAAAACACAAAATGAATAACATCTGAAAAGGCATTTCAAAAGTGTGGTCGAGAATCCAGGCACTTCCATTCGGCATCGTGGCCAAGAATTGTACCTTACCAGACCCACTCTGCAGCGAATTTTGACATAAGCCAACGGACCATGCGCAGGGCCGTGAATTCTTTGATTGGGCGCTGAAGCACCACCAAATTGATGCGGATTTCGCGAAGAAAATCATTTTCTCAGATGAGGAACATTTTCAACTGAATGGGTACGGATAAGCCGAATTTGGGGTTCTGAGAACCATCGCGTAATAATCGAACAAACAATGCATCCGCCGCGAGTTACCGTTGTGTGATTGGACCGTATTTCTTCGAAAATGCAGGTGGAACTGCGGTAACTGTTAATGGTGTGCGGTATCGCGAAGTGTTAACCGAGTTATTGTGGCCCCAGTTTTATCGAAGTGATGTGGAGGACATGTTCTTCCAACAAGACGGTGCGACCTGCCACGCAGTACGCGAAACAATGGTGTTACTGCGGACCAAGTTTCCAGAAAGTGTCAACTCTCGGTTTGGCGATAAAATTGACCACCAAGATCGTGCGATCTAACGCCAATGGACTCCTTCCTCTGGGGCTATATGAAGGAAAATGTGTATGCGAACAAGACGCAAACAGTTGAACAGTTATCGACGAAATAGAGCCACAGTTGTGTGAAGACGTTATCCAGAATTTTAAAAGGAGGCTGACCTTGTGCCAGAGGTGCCGTGGTGGCCATTTACCGGATGTTTAATCGCAACTTTTCGTCTTCAAATATACATACTCGCTTAATTCGAAAAGAAATTTCTTGAAAATCAAATCCGGCCCTCTTATTGAGACATCCTTTGAGAAATTTTGATATATTATCGCTCGGTATAGTCCATTGAATTGAAATTGCTCCTGATATAAAAACAGAATTAGGTAGTAGTAGTAGAAAGATTTATTTAGCACATTTGGCTACATAAACAGAATAATTATAAACAACTTAGAACTAGTGAATTCAAGCTATATGGTGTATGATGTAAATGCTGGGCAACCTATAATTGTAGATTTAACAAGTGATTTCTCAATTTTACTTTAAATTTTGTCAAAGATTTCTGGTCTTTTATCTCTGAGTATAATTTATTATATTAAATCAACCCTTAATAGAATAAAGATTTGTAGCATATGTTATACTTTTTGGTCATTAAATGGAAGTTATCTTTATTTCTGGTATTATGTAAATGATGGTCGACATTTGATGATGTTAAATTAGTTAGACTTGATGAAAATATATTATTTTTTACTTTATAAATGAATATCATTAAAAGATATTTGATAAATTTTTTTACATTGAGCCATTTTAATTTGCTAAGCATTTGCCTAATTGGAGTATATTTATCTTTATTTAGTATTATTCTCATGCATTTATTTTGTAAAATTTGCAGTCTTTCAAAAATGGAATTATTTGCTAAATATAGAATAGTCGAACAGTACAAGAAATTTGGAAGAATGATGGTATTATAGATAATTTTTCTGCTATATGAACACAGACATCCAGAAACTCTCGATAAATATCCCACTTTACTACTAATCTTATTTATAACTTTTTCATAATGAACATCAAAAATTAATCAAGAGTCAACAAAAACCCCCAGGTATTTAAAATTTTCTACGAATTCAATATCTTCACCATCAATATTCAGTTGAACATTTGTACATTGTTTTTTCCGATTAACAAGGATTTCGTTTTACTTGTATTTAATTTTAGTCTGTTAGATGCTAACCATTTTGAGATAAGTTTCAAGTCTTCATTTATATAAGAGATACCAGACTGAATATTTTTAGTACTTATATAAATCATAGTGTCATCGGCGAAAATCTGAATTTTGCATTTTTTTACTATGGCAGGTAAATCATTTATGTATAAAATAAAAAGAAGTGGTCCCAGGATACTGCCCTGTGGAACACCCAACGTATTTTCAATTTTTGATGAAATAGTGTCATTAACTTTTGTAACTTGCATTCTTTTAGACAAAATAATTTCTAAACCAATCTAAAATATTTCCTGTTATACCATATGCCTACAATTTACCTAACAAAATATCTCTATCAATCTTTCAAATGCCCTCTTCAAATCCAAAAATACTGCTATGACAACTTCTTCCGAGTCTATGGCTCTTCTAAATTCTCAGTTACCAACTGGAAAGCCGTTTCTGTGGAATATTTTTTTCGAAAGCCTGCTTGCGCCTCCACTAAAATTTTGTTTTCTTCTATAAACTGCATTAATTGGTCATGCACTATGGACTCTAATAACTTTTCAATGTCTGGTAACACATTTACTGGTCTCATATCGCTGCATCTTTTAGAATTTTTTATTTTGGGAACTGGTGTTATTGTAGAGCATTTCAAATTTTCAGGAAAAGAACTGCTTCTCAGTGAACAATTGATCCAATTTAATACAGGGTATCCCAAAATTTCGAAACAGTTTTTCAGCACGTTTTTAGTAGTGATTTCGGCACAGTTGTTATTTGATTTTAAACTGTTTACTTTTTTTCTTAGATAATTCAATGATACGCTGTAGCATTAATGCTAAATAAATCTTCAACAACAAAGAAAAGTCGCGCTCTAAAAACATATGCTACATTTTTTTTTTGTAATTACCTTTGCACTAACTGCACAATGCCTTCAGTCGCCAAAAAGAACGCATCTCTCTCAGCCTTCTTATGTATAGTCGCCGCGTGCGTATCAATAACGCTTGCGATCTGTTGACTGGGGAACTGCGCCAGCACTGAAGTGATGTTCCTTTCATAAAGCGACATCAACCGACGGATCTTCTTCTCGACTGCGGCCGGTATACGACCGGAAATGGTAGCCATCACTTCCTGCAGCTCCAAGAGAGGAAGACTGGGGTCGCGCAAAGAAGACATGAAGCTCTCGATGACCTCACGGAGACGCGGGGCGTTGTACGGATCCGGCAAGCAGTAGCCGGCGAGCGTGTTTTCCAGAGCTGACCTGAAAAAAAAATACAGTTCTTGTGGGAACAAGCAATTTTTCTTGCAACACATACAGCAAAATACACATAATCAAGTTAATATACAGGGTGTCCCAGAAGTCGACGTCAAGCCGAAACCGGGTGATAGGCAAAGTCATAACAGCTATCAGAAAAATATTTAAAAAAATTTATATGTGTTTTGAAAATTATAGGTCTTTGAAAAAGATAAAGAAATTTCACACCCTACGGCAGATTGTCAACTCCTGTTACTACAAATATTAACTTTTTTTGGATTTTATTTTTTCTCGTTCAGGAAAAATTAGAAGATTACTCGTTAACTTATACACAAATCTTAAAGGATTCAAATCAGGTGATCGGGCTGGCCACGGTATTGTACCAGACCGCCCTATCCATCTGCCTGGAAAGTTTTGATCGAGATACTCTCTCACTGAGAGTGCATAGTGCGCTGGGCAGCCATCATGCTGAAACCACATGTCCCTGGAAATACTCAGTGGCACGTCCACCAATAAATTTTGTACATGATTTTTCAAAAAATCAAAATTAACTTCAGCAGTCAAAGTCTCTGGGAACTCAAACGGACCGATTATTTTACCATTTAAAATTCCTGTCCAATGGTTTATCTTGAAGCGATATTGAGATTTATCTTCTCTCATCAAATGTGGGTTTGCTACGTGCCACTCGTGTAAGTTATGCAGGTTCATGTACCCATCTTTCTTAAATGTGGTCTCATCCGACCATAAAATTTTTTCAAAGAACTGTGGATCTTTCCTGTGTCTTTCTAACATTGTGCGACAAAAAGCAACTCGGGGCTCATAATCCCGGGGCAGGAGAGGTTGAACACGCTGTATGTGGTATGGATGAAGCACATCACTTACTTGCTATTGCACTCTTTGATTTCCCAGAGACTTTGACTGCTGAGGTTTATTTAGGTTTTTTGCAAAATCATTTAGAAAATTTATTGGAGGACGTGCCACTGAGTATTTACAGGGACATGTGGTTTCAGCATGATGGCTGCCCAGCGTACTATGCACTCTCAGTGAGAGAGTATCTCGATCAAAACTTTCCAGGCAGATGGATAGGGCGGTCTGGTACAATACCGTGGCCAGCTCGGTCACCAGATTTGAATCCGTTAAAATTTTTTTACTGGGGAACTGTAAAAGAAAAAGTGTATTTCAAGCCGATTCAAAATGTAGCTGAGCTACAGCAAAGACTATTGAAAGCAGCTGAGTTTGTTAATAACCGTGGATTCGCTCGTTTAATAACCCGATCTTTTTTAAGAAGATGTCGAACGTGTATTGCGGCTGAAGGAAAACAGTTTGAGCATTTGCTGTAAAGGTAAGTCATCATCAGCAGCATTTTGACGCCCACTGTTGTACAAACAGTTATCCTTAAGGGTCCTTGTGCGTTTTCATAATCGCTGTTTAATTAGGAAATTTTCATCAGTTTTTCTTCAAATAAAAATTGTGCATAAGTTAACGAGTAATCTAAGTGTTATACCATTTTGGAATCCTTATTAAATGCGCCAACTTTTAAGGTTACTTGCCAAACTCTTGTAGTACATTTTTTTCCAGTACAGCCAGTTAAAGTTGAGCAAAGTTTTACTTTGGAATACTTGGTTGGGAAATAAGTGGCAATTTTTCCTGAACGAGAAAAGTTGGCAGTAAAGTTGAGACACCAGTTTGAAGATGCATTATTCATCATTACATTGTAAAAATAGAATCCAAAAAAAGTTAATATTTGTAGTAACAGGAGTTGACAGACTGCCGTAGGGTGTGAAATTTCTATATTTTTTCAAAGACCTATAATTTTCAAAACACATACATAAAATTTTTTTAAATATTTTTCTGATAGCTGTTATGACTTTGCCTATCATCCGGTTTCGGCTTGACGTCGACTTCTGGGACACCCTGTTATACAAAATTAATTGGCTTTAATTTTAACAAACACAGTTTATCGCCAAATAAGGTCTTTTCGACTGTTTTCATACCATCTCCATCGTGCCACAAAATTGCATATAATGAACAAAACAAAAATTTCCTCGATAACTCACCTGTAATGACTGTGTATATGATTCAGTTTTTCCGGAATGGCATTTTGGTGCAATTCCAGATCTGGGAATGATCCTTTGTAAAGTACGGCTTTGGTTACGAGCGATGGATCGTCCAGCTCCAAAGTCGCTATCACAGACCCTGCGTCCAACACTGCACCGGGCCTTTTCACGTAAGACACTATACCTGATTCTCCAGCGGTCAGCGTCATTACCTACAAAATGAATTAATAAACTATTCTAAAAAGCAAACAGAACTACGAGCTAAAATACATGAATTTGAAGTTGAGATCTTGTAGAAAAACCTACATAATGTGACAACCTATATAATGTCAAAAAAATCGACATGAGGTGTTATATAAGACTACTGGAAGGAAAAATGTGCGAACTTTTCGGATAGAGAAAAAGAAATGGTGCTTTGGTTACTGGACAAAATATGTAATTTAAGAAATAATTATGCACGCTGCTAAAAAACAAAGCTCTATTACTTTTTATCTTTTTGAAAAATCAACACGCCTTTTACGAGGTGAAATCGATTTTTTTTATTCATAAATGAAGGTTGGTTTATACAATTTATGTATGAAAAATAACATCAGTCATGTGACCACCGCGGCTTCGTTTACAGGCCAACATCCGAACATCAAAATGTTCAATGACTTTTCCCAGAATAATCGGGTCTATGGTCGCAATTTCAGTCCGAATATTGCGCTTTAGGTCTTGAATTGTCCGGGGACCATTCGCATACACTTTTCCTTTCAAAAATCCCAAAAAAAAATAGTCAAGAGGTGTTAAATCGCACGATATCGGGGGCCAACTGACATCTGAATTTCTTGAAATTATGCGGTCTTGAAATTTCGTGTGCAATAAGGCGATTCTTTGGCGAGATGTGTGAGCCGTTGCTGAAACCAAAGATCGTCGGCACCAATACGATCCAATTGTGGCCACAAAAAGTCTGTTGCCGCGATAACGTTCCCCGTTGACGGTAATGGCCTTTTCTTCGGTATCGTCAAAGAAGAATGGTCCAACGATGCCACCAGCCTATTCCGCACCAAACAGTCCCTTTTTCAGGATGGAGAGGTTATTCATGATATTGGTGTGAATTTTCAGCCCCCCAGAATCTGCAATTTTGCGTATATTTACGTAACCATTGAAGTGAAAATGAACCTCATCAGAAAAGAGCACTTTGGCCGAAAATCCGTCTCCTCTTTCCAGCATCCAATTTACAAAAACACGCGGCTGTTGATGGTCTGCCGGCTTCAATTCTTGTGTTAGTTGGATTTTGCATGGATGTGGGTGTAAATCAATGTGTAAAATCCGGCGTAAAGTGGACTCACTAATTCTCAATTGTTGTGAACGGTGCCTAGTCGAGGTGGTTGGATCTTCTCGCACACTTTCACTCACTGCGGCTATCTTTTCACGTACGAGCTGGACGAGCATGTTGGTATGGTCTACGACCTTCAGCTGAACCAGTTACCTCAAAACGATTAATAATCCAACGAATTCTAGGCTCTGTAGGGCGATCATGTCGGCCAAAACTAGTGCGAGGTTTGCGAAAAGTATTTTTTATATTTTGACCGTTTTCGTAATAAGTTTGGAAAACCAAAATGCGTCGTTGTGTTGTAAACGAATCCATGACTATAAATGGCATACCTTTGACAGTTCATTTATGTATACCACATGACTTTTGACTCACATGGTAACACATAAACTTATAGGTAAACAAATTAATAGATGGCGCACCCAGTAATTCTGAAAATAACAACGAATCTAATGTAATATTGGGAGCTTATGCTTTTCATTTTAACTCTAGCTGTATACACGGAGAACTGTCCGGTGTAACTCTTCCTTTTTGAGAACAAGGCAATCCTTTAGCCAATTTCAACGAGATTTTCACAGTTTCCTTATTCCTTATTAAATATTTGTATGTGATACATGCAATATAAAAACAAACGGATAGCAATGAAAATGGCAGTCATTCAGTCGATTTGCGCTTGGAAAGAATTTTAAATTCAAACTAACAATTCTCTTTTGATCTGACTCATGATGGCAGCGTAATATTTGCACATTTGACAAGCTTCAGTTGACTCCACATGACAGATTTCCACCATAAAGACCACAACTATAATCTTTTATCTGTTCGACGATGTTTCTCTTCTTGTCTACTACTATGTATACGTACACTACTCAAAGGAATTAAGGGATCAAGAAAAAAAATCAAAATTTTTCTTGTATCTAGATTTTAAAACAAGCATTTCGAAGGTTCAAGATTCTAGTTTTTAGGTTTTTATGCCGAAAAAATTTAGGAGCAACGGTTCTCAGGCAATTCTAACACATAGCGCGAGAAAAATCTCTTGCAAAATGTTTGCCTTATTTTTAGTCCACGGGCTTGAAAAAGATAGGCCATCATATGAAGCAGATATCCCGTTTATTCAGCTTAAATGTTCTGTTTTTAAGATCTCGATACGCTAATTTGGCGCGGAGATATCTGAATTGAAAGGTCCCTTTTGTCATCGACCACTGACTTCTCGGTAACCAGTACAAATTTCAGAAAACGGGAATAAATCTCCTATAAAATTTTATTGCAATCTTTGAGGATTTTTTTGTTTTCCTGGAATTGATTTTAAAGACGTCGGAAAAAAGATCGACCGCAGTTTTGGAAATGCTAGTGCTTTTAGGTTTTTTATTGGTCAAAATTTGAAAGGAGCAAAATATTTGTATCAAAACATCCTGTAATCTGGTTAAAATTGGAAAAATCATGTTTCTTCCTTTGTTGACACTATTAGATATCTGTAACACCTTCAATTTTTAAAAAACCAATTGGAAGAATGTTATTCTTTTATTCCAAAAAACAAAAATACTGACCCAAATCCGCTCCCCAAAAAATAATTCTTGCTCCCTTAATTTTTTGAGTTACGGACAAATTATTTTATGGCGAATTTTAAATTTAACCTCAAGGAATATTTCCTAGACATGTTTGATTTATAATTACCATCTTCATCACTTCAATTTCAGCAAATGCCTGTCCTTTAGAAACATGTCCGCCGTCCTCAACAATGTACGAGATGAGTTTTCCAGCAGAAGGTGATCGAATTATCGTAGGGTCATTTTCTTTCTCAAAAACGCACGTTTGATTTCCTATCACTATTCTATACCTATCTACTTCTTCTTTCATGTAAGTCGTATAGGAAGCGCCGTCTACAGAGAGCAATATTCCACCGTCAGTTAACCTGAAAGAGAAACAAGAAATGGCGTCAAGTAGGTTGACTCTGAGCTTCCTGTGCAGTCATCAGCACCAATTAGAGAGAGAAGCCTAAATGGCAGGGCACCGCGGCTGCTGTGAGGATCCCAAAGAAACTTTGTTAGAGAAGAGTCATCGACCAGTCGGACAGCCCTAGTCAGGACATCATAGAGCATGGGTAATATAGTCGCGGCGGCAGCACCCCAAACATGTGAGCAATACTCAAGGCTAGGTCTTACCCGGGCCTTTCTGGGAAGGTGCCGGATTCGTAAGATATCTGGAAGAGACGCGAAAGAACCGGAGCAAGCTCAGCTGCACAACACACCAGCAGGAATCAAATACGGACCAGAAGCTTTATTTTATGTCGAGCGACAAGAGTCTTACAGTCTTATGTCTGACCGCATAGTGTACGGATCCCTTAGAAAAATTCAATTCCAAGTCAAATTCAGACGCCGATAATATGACCTACCTGTGAACCTCCATCTCCTTGAAAGATCCGTTCATCTGGAGGAAGTAAGAGTTTGGTCCGCTTTTTGTCGCTTGCACTTTGTATTTATTTCCATCATTGATTAGTTCCACATCTACGACGTTCGTCAACGTGTTCGATCCCTGGATCTGTCCTCTCTCCAACGAAGTCTGAAACTCTTCAAATGCAGTCATGATGGCCTTATCAGCGATATGCAAGGAACCACAGATAACTCCCAACATGATATCGGGTTTTTCTGATTGCATACGTTCGGAAATAAGCACATCTAACCAGGCCGTGTCTATTGTGTTTTCCTGAAATGAATAATGGTAAACTTAAGACATGAAATCCAATATTAGCTGGAAGGTAGCAGTTTAAATGTTACTCCAAGGGTTTTACTTATAAGGCCGCAGTGATACTTCGAGGTTGCCAGATGGGCCAAATAGAATCAAAGCATATTACACTGATACTGACATATTCCGGGTGACAAAAAAAAGGTAAGCACCTATATTTATCCGATTTTAATAATTTTTGGCATAAACATATATGCTATCATGGAAGTATACGCTATAAATATTTGTATGTTATGTAATTGTTGTAGTTTTTTAAAAGACTGTAATTGTAGAAATCATGCTAAACAAACAATCAAAGAAAATCATACCTGAAATGCCTTCGTTTCCAATAAAGTAATCAGGTACTCGACTGTAGTTCTAAAATCACCTCTAATAGATAGCTCTTTTAATGCTATAACGAGATTCTCCCTGGCTTGCTCCCTGTTTTCACCCCAAGAGAAACAGTGACCGAATTGCGAATCCGCAAACTCGTGCAGGCCACCAGAAGCGGCTACCGAAAAGTAACCCCATACGTTTTTCGATGATCGGAAGTTCAGTTCTTGGACTGTACCGGAACTTGGTTTAAAACCTGAAAAGTACCATTGCTTTTAGTGAGTTTACCTATATGTTTCTATTTAGTTGACTAGTACGTTGACGTACATTGCATATAAAGTGTGTTCCATTTATTGCTTCTTTTTTCAACTACTATTTTTTGACATGTTAAATGTGTCAACTGCCACGGGTTTAGCACATATGAACTGCCAAAGGTCTGCCATTTGTTATTGTGGGTTCTTTAACAACGCAAGAACGCATTTTGGTCGTCCAAAAATATTACGAAAATGGACGATCTTTAAAAAGTACTTCGCAAACTTCGTGATGAATTTGGTCGACATATCGTCCCACAGAGCGTGCAATTCGGTGGATTATCAATCGTTTTGAGGAAACTGGTTCAGTTGAAGGTCGTAGAACATATCAACATGCCCGTCCGGTACGTACAAGTGAATCAGAATTGGACATCAGGCCAAATACATTATGGAGGATTTTGCATCTTGATCTCCACCTACATCCACACAAGATCCAACTAACTCAACAATTAAAGCCAGCGGACCATAAGTAACGGCGTATTTTTGTTAATTGGATGCTTGAAAAAGGAGAGAGATTTTCGGCTAAAATCATCTTTTCAGTCGAGGCACATTTTTACCTCAGTGGCCACGTAAATAAGCAAAACTGAAAGATTTGGCGTTCGGGAAATCCACACGAGATCCATGAACAACCTCTCCATGATCAAAAAGTAACTGCTTGGTGCGGATTTTGGCCTGGTAGTACCATTGGACCTTTTTTTTTTTTTCGAGGATGAAGAACACCGCCGAACGTTATCGTGGAATGATAACGGATTTTTTTTTTGCCAAAATTGGAACGTATTGATGCCAACGACCTTTGGTTCCAGCAAGACGGTACAACTTCGCACACAGCTGGCCAGACAATCCAGTTATTGGCCGAGAAATTTCCAGATCGCATTATTTCGAGAAATTCCGACGTGGATTGGCCTCCAAGATCGTGCAACTTAACGCCACTGGACTATTTTCTCTGGGGATTTTTGAAAAGTAAAGTGTACGCGACAGCCCCACGCACGATTCAAGACCTTGAGCGCAACATTCGCACCTAAATACCTAAATTGCGGCCGTGGACCCGCTAATACTGCAAAGAGTCATCGAAAATTTTGATGTTAGGATGATGGCCTGTCAACGGAGCCGACCTACAATTTTCAATAAAGAGTTTGGTTTCTCACTCATAAAGTGTTTTTTTTTTTTTTTAGATTAAAAAAAGAAGGAACGGCTGGAACTCGCTATACAGGGTGACTTCGAAGTTGAGTCATTTATTTTAACAGTGAGTAAATCTGATCAAAAGAAATGTTTTTTTCCTTCACCATTTTTCTGGTAAAATTAAAGTAACAAAGTTATAGCCCTTTGGAAGTTTGAGTACCGCCCTGTCTCAATAATAATATTATGTGCTCGTGTTTGGCGACAACGGATATAATCCGCCTTATCGGTTCATCGCATCGGAAACAAAAAAGCGAAAGAATTTGAAACGATGTTTTTACAATTATTTTATTCAGTTGTATACAGTCAGTGTCAGTCGGTAACGCGTGAGTGAATAGTGGTGTCTGTTGCGTGGCTCAAACGAAATAAAAAATGGCACATGTTTATGCGGATCGGTTTCCCAATCGAGTGCAACCAACCCCTCGTGCCTTTGTTAATGTAGTACAACGGGCTCGTGAATCAGGTGACTTAAGACCTCACAGGGGACGGCACGATCAAATACAGGTCCGCACTGAAATACTTGTCGGGAGGATACTTTATAAAACAAGGTAAATTTTTTTTTAATTTTTTTTTATTTTTACACACATATTTTGGTTTGTCTTCCTTCTACAATCATTATCTGAAAATTAAAGACTTAACTTCAAAGTCACCCTGTATAATGTGGACAATAAATGGTATATCATGAAATATGCTACTCAAAGAGGATCATCAAAAGGTAAATTAACGTTTACTTACCTTCATCTGGATTTTCAGATGTTATTCGAGCTGCTATAACATGCCCCCAAGGTTGGGGTTTATGCATCGGCATATCAAAATCGATTTCTGTACACCCCCACGGTGATTCTCCATAGAGTAACCGAATATCTTTGATGTAGTTCAGTGGAAGACCCATCGCAATCTGTAGATGGAATAAACAACTTATTAAACCATCACAAGGGGCTATTCGCAGAAGTTGATAATAGTTTAAACGAGATCAAAGGCGATCTAAAAAATGTGATGAAAAACTGTTTTAATTCGCATCGGAATTCAAAAAATTATATGAAGAAGGAAAATTGTCGGTAAAATGTTCATTCGCATCTTAACACCCCAACTGCTGAACATATTGACTTTTTGAAGGTATTGCCTGCCAAAAAAATATTAGGCTTTTGAGGTCGGTTTTAGTTTTTTATCAAAATGTTGTGTGAGTGCTTACTTGTAGTTGTGCAGCAGGTAAATTAACGTCAGAAACCATTTCTGTACAAGGATGTTCTACTTGGAGACGAGGATTCAATTCCAAAAAGTAATATTGTCCTGATGATGGCTCGTACAGGTATTCCACTGTTCCTGCTGACACATAGCCTACCATTTTAGCTAATCTGACAGCTGCCTGAAATAAATCAAATTATAAAACATCTATTTCCTATACGACGTGGTGTAACAATTAGGTTCAGAAAAAGTGATAACTCGGGAAAAGCAAAACTATAATGATCGTCAACGTCTATACAGGGATGGGGAACAATGCTTGTAGTTTCAGTCCCAGCTTGAAGTCGACAGCTTGTTTGGTTCAGGTTTGTTTGTTGTAGATTTATTTAGCATTAATGTTACACAGTACATCACATCTTCAAGTCTACATATTTTTATATAAAATTTCGCTACTATGAATTCTGGTTTTCCGTGAAATATTTTTTCAATTTCCCTTTAAACATTTTCAAACTGCCACACATCATATCATTACTTAATTTATTAAATTCGTACAATCCTTTTAGAAATACTGATTTGTTTGTTATATTGCTACTACATTTTTTTAATTGAAAGTCTATACTTCCTCTAGTAGAATAGCTGTGGTACTCACTGATCAATTCAATAAAATTTTCTACATGATTTGGTGTATGATTTTTTAACTTGAATATGGAAATGACAACCAAGTAGGTTATGAAATTATTGATGTTTAGCCATTGTAAAATTTACTCTACAGGGTGCGCCATCTTTTATGTCGGTATGTAAACATGAAATAACTTTGAAAACGAAAAACTGATTTCTATATATCGGGTATTTTTATTAAATATGGTCCTTTACAATTTATTGGGACTAGTTTTTGAACACAAGATCTATCAAGTGGCCACCGTTATTGGCCAAAACAAAATGTGCCCGTTTTGCTGCGTTTTCCATTATTTTTTCGAGCATCTCTGGTGGTATAGCGGCGATTACGGTACGAATATTTGCCTTGAATCCTTCAGTGGTCTGGGGCTTGCTGGCGTACACTTCAATTTTCAAATAACCCCACAAGAAGTCCGGTGGCGTCATATCTGGAGACCTGGGTGGTCATTCAATGTCACCTCTTTTTGACATCAGACGTCCAGGGAATTTTGGTTGCATAAACTGGATTGTTTCATTTGCAGTGTGGCATGGCGCAGCGTCTTGTTGAAACCAGTAACCATCAAGACCTTTTTCACGCATTTGTGGGCAGACATAATGAGCCAACATCCACCGATATCGATTTCCATCGACTGTTTCGTTTTCGTTGAAGAAAAATGGCCCAATGATGGTTTTGGAGCAAACGCCGACCCAAACAGTCACTTTCCGGTCATGCATCTTCATTTCCTGGATCTCATGTGAATTTTCCGTCCTCCATATGCAGCAGTTATGCTTATTAACGCCGCCAGAGAGCGTGAAATGGGCCTCGTCGGTCATCACAATTTGCTTCCAAAGATCAGGTTCAACATCAACTATGCGAGCGACTGTTTGGGCGTATTCCAAGCGACGTGGACGGTCAGTCGGCAATATTTTTTGTGTTAACTGCACCTTATAAGGAAACAAATGCAAATCATCCTTCAAAATGCGCCGCAACGTGGTTCCACTGATGCCAAAATGCTGAGCGCGGTGACGATACGACACTTTTGGGTTCTGGGCAACGCTGTCTCTGACCGCTTCAACCAATTCATTGGAACATCTTGGTCGTTGATGAACGGTATGTTGACGATCTGCCACTGTCCCGTACTCAAGAAAATTCAAAACCAAACGACGCATAGTGTTGCCAGACGTTGACTGTTTGCTCAACAGAACGACTATTTTCAATGTACATTGTGACTATATCGGCACGTTGTTACGGTGTAAGGCGATTCATGACTAAAATTGCTGTTTCAGAAACACGTATAACCAAATCACTCGGTTGGTAAATATCAAAGTCGTTCGATGTTTCAATACCGACATAAAAGATGGCGCACCCGGTAGTATATTTATTTCTATTTATTCTCATAGCTTTACTTTGTAATATCTGTAATTTTGAAAATACAGTTTACTTTGCAGTGAACAAAATAGTTGAAAAATATAACAAATGAGGAAGAATTATTTTTTTAGAATAAACAGACTATCTATGTATAGTCCCGATAGTGTGATTTGAAAACTGGAATCTCTCCTCAAGGAATTTCATTTCAGTAGGATTTAAGGTCAAAAAAGATGTAATCGCGGTTTACCCCAATCGTGGAAGCCACTTTGCTATTGTTGCGTAAAATTGGGAGAGGCTTTGTGGAGATCGATAACTAAATTTTTGTCAAAATATTGAAAAATTGCTGGACTTAAATTGCCACACATCTTTATAAAACAAACTTTTAATGCCACAATATTTGATGAACTAAATTTTACCACGAATATTTTGAAATACAATTTCAACATACCAAGAGATTCTTAATTAAAACATATAAGCTTCGCACTTGTTTAAAACTTTGAAGGTAGTTGTGTCAGGTCTGACTGATTAAAAACCGGACAGGAGGAAAAAAAGGGGGGAATAGAGAGCAAAGAGGAGGAAGTACATGCTTACCCTTTCCATAGCCTCGAAAATGTCCGGCTCAGCGATAACGGCGGGCGCTTCTTCGATAATCTTCTGATGCCTTCTCTGGATGGAACAATCACGTCCGAACAACGATATCGCGTTGCCGTAGTTGTCCGCTAACAGCTGCACTTCCAAGTGCCTCGCGCACTTCGCTAGTTTCATCACGAATACCGGCGATCCTGGAATTTCGGTTTGTACCTAAAATGATCTCTAGTACAGTGCATTCTGTTGATGCAAATACAACAGCGCTGAATGTTATGTAGATACGCGGCAGATTGGCTTGATGTTAGGAACAGATAGCAGAAATTAACGAACTAAAACGTAAAAAACTACGTTCAACATAATCAAGATGCCCGCTCACATACAGATAACTAAATAAGAATAGTAAATTCGCCTTTATTGAGTACATGCAAGTATCTAAAATGGATTATTAGAGCTGATGTTGACATTCAGACAAATGAAGGGTACCGGGGAATAACGACAATAGTCCATCCGGACTGATTTCGAGAAAATCGCCGGTAATTAAGGTTTACTTGTTGGAAAGTAAAATTGATGAAAAAATAATTCGTTAAGAATATATTTGCTAAACAGTGTGTTTATTGGTAAAATAGATTTTACAGAATGAACTTTTACTCAAAGCTAGTAACGTAACAAACAAAAGATGATGTTCAACTCTGGACTCGTGCCACTTTTCCCCTAGCGGGTCATCGACATATTTATCACTGCTGTCATCTGGGTGATCACGAGATATTAACTGTTGATAAAATGCCCTGGAATCTGCTCTCTCTAGAAAGTTGGTCAGATCCTGCAGATCCTTCCATTTCTTACTTTTAATTGGGATTGTTTTCTCAATGTTTCCTCTTCTCGTTTTTGTTGATCTTTTAGCTGTTGTTTTGTGGACCTAAGCCCTTTTTACAATTTAAGAAGCTGATTACAAGATAGCATCAGGAAAATGTCAACAAAATAAACTGAAAGCTCAATTTAGCCAAATAATGGACTAATGCCGTTTTTACCCGGTACCCTTCAAATGCTTGTCTTGTCAGTCGTCGATCTCTTCGATACCGTATGTGAATTACCACAAAAACTACGAAATTATAGCAGGCTAAGGTACTGTTATACAGATAAGAGAAACACACAATACTTACTTGTCGAAAGGCCGCAGGAAATTCGTCAGCATGCTCCACTTTACGGATACCTTTACCACCCCCACCCTCTGAAGCTTTTATCATAACTGGAAATCCTATTTTATGTGCAGCGGCTAAACCTTCTTCAGGTGTAACAACGCACCCTTTGGCGAATAATTCTGACGAGATTTTTATTTTCTTGCCAGAGTATTGTGCAGTCAGTCCTGCAATAAAAATCCATGTTAAGAATGAACAACGATTACTTTTTCTAGCAATTGAAAACACGTATATTAGAAAAAAAAGATTAACTCTTCCGCTGAAGCGCTACGTTCAATATTTAGTCACTGATGTCGCGGTGTAAACGTTTCTTTTCAGCACGAGGAACCTACAATTCTTGTGTGAACGATTTTAGATCTGGCTTTTGTTGGAATTTAAAAATGTTTAAGGTGAAATTAAAAAATCACTTTATGAATATTCCAAATTTTAATAGACAATAATGTAAAATTGCAGAAAATGGATTCAAAAAAATGTGTAAACGAATAATAAATCTTCAACAAACAACCAAACAAACAAAACTTCTGATATAATAGCCGACATATAAGACAGTTTTAGCAATTGTAAATACAGCATCATCATCAACATTAACGTTGTCAATTAAGTCATAAGAAGTAAATGAATTATAGGTTATCGATAACTTAATTTAAAACTATCTATTATAAATGTATGTATTTACCTGATCCAGACCATGGTAACGTGGGTACTTCGGCTGTTTGTGCTACAAGAGATGATGCAATTTTGTCACCAAGCGCCCACATAGCTTTTTCGCTGGGCCCAACAAATGCAATGTTGTTTTTATGGAGCAGTTCTGGCAGTTTTGGATTTTCTGATGCATGACCCCAGCCAGCCCACACAGCCTGAAAGTTAATCACGTTCAGATCAATCAGAAATCAATCAGAAATGAGATAAACATATAGACTAAAATAAAATGCAATTACCATTTCTTGATTTTTAAATACGACGTACGATGTTCGAGAAAATTTAGCATCCAGTATTAAAAAAATGGTTTCGAACGAAAAGTTCACAAAAACCCAACTTCCCAATTCATTCTTTTTAGAAAGCGTTAGTCCGATTGAAGTACAAGAAGCTGTCCTATCACTTAAAACCAAAAAAAGTCCTGGTGTAGATGGTATCAAAGCTGACCATTTAAAAATAATAGCCTACGACTTAGCCGAACCACTTTCTTACGTCATTAATTGGTGTTTCCAATCTGGAATTTGTCCTGATGCATTTAAAACAACTGTTATTACTCCTGTTTATAAAAGCGGTGACAGAATGGAAACATCAAATTATAGACCCATATCAGTATTATCGAATATAGCCAAAATTTTCAAAAAATTACTACAAAAAAGGATATTACAATTTTTGGACAAAAACAAAATTATATGTTCTGACCAATATGGATTTAGAAAAAGAAAATCTACTACAGATGCAATTTTGGCTGCAATGGATGAAATTAACGCTAATGTCAACAAAAGGTACCTACTATTGGTATCTTTGTTGATCTAAAAAATGCCTTTGATACGGTTAACCATGTCGAGCTTCTGAAAGTTATGGAAAGATTGGGATTTAGGGGAGCGTCACAAATCCTTTTAAAAAATTACCTTTCAAGTCGGGCACAGACTGTCAAAATCACTAAAACTTACAGTAAAAAAATGTACATCAAGTGTGGTGTGCCTCAAGGAACAGTACTAGGCCCACTATTATTTAGTCTCTACTTAAATGACTTATTCAAAATTAACAGTTCTGGAAAGATTATATGTTTTGCAGATGACACCCTCGTATTATATAAAGCTGATGACTGGAGCACACTGAAGCAAATAGCTGAACAGGATTTTATAAGGATCATTGACTGGTTTGATACTAAAATTTTAACAGTTAACTTCAAAAAAACAAAATTTATTGCATTTACATCCTATTCAAAATTTTTACCTACCTTCGAACAAATTTCCGTTAATTATCATGGCCAAAAGACCAAAATCGATAGAGTTAACACTTTGAAATATCTTGGAATATTTATAGACTCACATCTAAGGTGGGATAAAGATATTAAATATGTTATCAAAAAAATTAAAAATGTTGCCTATAAACTCAAAATGCTTGCTAACATTCTTACAGAAAATTATCTGCGAATCCTATACCATGCCTTAGTTGAAACCCATATAATATACAGCATCACAGCCTGGGGTGCCGCCTGCAAGACATATATTTCTGACCTGAATATTGCACAAAAAACTGTTTTGAAAGCCATTTTCCATAAGCCAAGATTATATCCAACGAACAACTTATATCAAGAAACAGGGATACTGGATACAAGACAACTTTATTTCTTACATGCCACCACCTTATACCATAAGTATTATAATAAAAAGAAAAAATCCTATAAACACGAGCATAACACACGATTTCGAATAGGCTCATCTAATATCCAAAAACCACACAAAACATTATTCAAAAAATCATTTAAATTCTTAGCAGCTAAATTATATAATGTAGTACCAAACGAAATAAAGATACTTAATTTTGGAAAAAAAATTAGAAGAAAATTGAAAGACTGGGTTAGTAATGTGCAGCGAATAACTATATATAATTATATAGAACACTAAAACTACAAAATTCCAATTACATTAATACCTTTTAGATTTAACAATAATTGTTATACACATATATGATTGATTGTTAGTTATTAAGATATAAACCACACACAGGCGATGCCTTCTGTGGTTTTTTCATATTTATTTGCCCATTTTTTGTATTTTGGCGAATAAATAGTATTATTATTATTATTATTATTATTATCTGCCAGCAGTCAACGATACTGAAACTATCTCGAATCTTACGAGGTCTCTAAGAGAAAAAAAATAGCGTCAAGTAAGTTGACTCTGCACTTACCACGGCACGCTATCATCAGCTCTTAAAATATATGTTCAATTTAGCTCCGTTCAGAAAAAAAGGCGACTACGAACATGCGTAACAAATGAATGAAATCATCAGATAGATCAAGTCAGTCAAGTGGCCTACACAAATTCATTCCAGGAAATCATATAACTCGTCTTAAGGGCAAATATTCGGGAAAATCTGTCTGAAATATGTCTAATAGGTTCATAAAAATGAGAGAGATAAGAAAAGAAAATCCCGGGTTGGTGAAGCAAAACGTCTGAAAATATGCTACAGACAGGAATATTTATGAAAGTGAAAAGGTTATCACATTATGGACGCTCTTGATGACGCTCACAGTAAGCAGACGAAGAATGAACTATTTGCACTCTAAAAACTACCTAGTCTGACATTTTGTCATTTTTTGACGTTTTTTTCCTAATATCGTCGGAAATGAATGACAGCTTTCGTGATGTGCATGTCATATAACATCCAAAAAACACGATAGCTCAAGATAGAACCCTACCTGTACTTGACACCTGACAGCGATATCAACGATCAATTCCACATTGGCGTAGTTGTTGTTGTTGGTCCCACCTGGCACGGGTACGTAGTGGTCGGCCATTTTGATGTATTCGGCGTTTGCCTTCAGATCTTCGGGTGTGACCATGACCACAAAGCGGACGGCCCTTTCGTTCTTGAACATCTCGTACGACCATCGTCGTATGGATCGCATACATTTCACCGCCGCTATACCGTTGTTCGCGATCAGCACCTGAAAAGTAATGATATGAAAAATTGGTGGCTCGCGCAACGGCAGCTGTTTCCTGCAGAAAAAAGGAATCCTCGCTGAATGCATAAGTGCGTTTTACAAAAGTTAACACTATTTTATTAGAAATTAACAATACGTTAGGTTTTCCACAGGGCAGTATCATGGGAGCACTTCTTTATATTTTATACGTACACGATTTACCTGCCATAATAAAAAAATGTAAAATAACTCTTGGATTTCTATAAATATTCAGACTGGTATCTCTTGTGTAAAAGAAGACTTGAAACTTTGTTTGTTGAAGATTTATTTAGCATTAATGCGACAATGTCAATTTTGTATTGTCACCTAAATGTTTCCCTATTGACATACATTTTGTTTTATTAGTGTTTAATTAAGTTTATTAACATTTAAACAACTCATAATTTTAATATCTATTTAACTTGTTTCAAACTAGTTATCATCTATCAAACTCAAATTAAATACAAGTGAAACGAAATGTATGTTAATTGGAAAAAACGTACAAATCTTCAACTGAATATTTAGCAGGAAATACGGTTGGTGGTATATATTTTAATCAACAGAATCATATTGGTGATATTTTTATTGTTCATTAATGAAAAATGTACTTAAATACAGGGTGTCCCAGAAGTCGACGTCAAGCCGAAACCGGGTGATAGGCAAAGTCATAACAGCTATCAGAAAAATATTTAAAACAATTTTATGTATGTGTTTTGAAAATTATAGGTCTGTGAAAAAGATATAGAAATTTCACACCCTACGGCAGTCTGCCAACTCCTGTTACTACATATATTAACTTTTTTTGGATTTTATTTTTACAATGTAATGATGAATAATGCATCTTCAAACTGGTATCTCAACCTTACTGCCAACTTTTCTCGTTCAGGAAAAATTGCCACTTATTTCCCAACCAAGTATTCCAAAGTAAAACTTTGCTCAACTTTAACTGGCTGTACTGGAAAAAAATGTACCACGAGAGTTTGGCAAGTAACCTTAAAAGTTGGCGCATTTAATAACGATTCCAAAATGGTATAACACTTAGAAGATTACTCGTTAACTTATGCACAATTTTTATTTGAAAAAAAACTGATGAAAGTTTTTCAAAATTTCCTAATTAAACAGCGATTATGAAAACGCACAAGGACCCATAAGGATAACTGTTTGCACAACAGTGGGCGTCAAAATGCTGCTGATGATGATTTACCTTTACAGCAAATACTCAAACTGTTTTCTTTCAGCCGCAATACACGCTCGGCGTCTTCTTAAAAAAGATCGGGTTATTAAACGAGCGAATCCACGGTTATTAACAAAGTCAGCTGCTTCCAATAGTCTTTGTCTTAGCTCAGCTACATTTTGAATCGGCTTGAAATACACTTTTTCTTTTACAGTTCCCCAGTAAAAAAATCTAAAGGATTCAAATCAGGTGATCGGGCTGGCCACGGTATTGTACCAGACCGCCTTATCCATCTGCCTGGAAAGTTTTGATCGAGATACTCTCTCACTGAGAGTGCATAGTGCGCTGGGCAGCCATCATGCTGAAACCACATGTCCCTGTAAATACTCAGTGGCACGTCCACCAATAAATTTTGTACATGATTTTTCAAAAAATCCAAATAAACTTCAACAGTCAAAGTCTCTGGGAACTCAAACGGACCGATTATTTTACCATTTAAAATTCCTGTCCAATGGTTTATCTTGAAGCGATATTGAGATTTATCTTCTCTCATCAAATGTGGGTTTGCTACGTGCCACTCGTGTAAGTTATGCAGGTTCATGTACCCATCTTTCTTGAATGTGGTCTCATCCGACCATAAAATTTTTTCAAAGAACTGTGGATCTTTCCTGTGTCTTTCTAACATTGTGCGACAAAAAGCAACTCGGGGCTCATAATCCCGGGGCAGGAGAGGTTGAACACGCTGTAAGTGGTATGGATGAAGCACATCACTTACTTGCTATTGCACACTTTGATACCGATCAGTACTCCTTCGTTTACTGCGCATCTTTACATGTTCGTGCTTGTTGATTTCGACTGTTACTAATTTTGGATTCGTGAACTGGACTGTTGATCGCTTGTGATTTGGATTTGGACTGTTTAATTGCTCTTCAAAACAACATTTACTTTCCTTAGACTATCTTTGATAGTGTGATTGTGCAGTGCCGCTATATCCGTGTACACCGTACAAGAATATGCTAACATGCACCTCATTTATGGGGAATGCAGATGCAACGCTAGTGCTGCAGCGAGACTTTACTGCGAGAGGTACCCGAATGCAGCTCGTCATCCTGATCATAGAGTGTTCACAAATGTGCACCGCTTACTCTTCTCAGAGGGCCAACTACCAAACCAATCACACGGTGAGGGAAGAGCTTTCCTTCCTTACCAAGACGTGGTGCTAGGAGCTGTCGAAGAAGACCCGAGTACTTCAGTGCGTGCAATAGAACTAAAAACAGGTGTGCCCAAAAGTACAGCCCATTAAATCTTGCAAAAAAACGTGCTCCATCCATACCACGTACAGCGTGTTCAAGCTCTTCTGCCCCGGGATTATGAGCCCCGAGTTGCTTTTTGTCGCACAATGTTAGAAAGACACAGGGAAGATCCACGGTTCTTTGAAAAAAATTTATGGTCAGATGAGACCACATTTAAGAAAGATGGGTACATGAACCTGCATAACTTACACGAGTGGCACGTAGCAAACCCACATTTGATGAGAGAAGATAAATCTCAATATCGCTTCAAGATAAACCATTGGACAGGAATTTTAAATGGTAAAATAATCGGTCCGTTTGAGTTCCCAGAGACTTTGACTGCTGACGTTTATTTAGGTTTTTTGCAAAATCATTTAGAAAATTTATTGGAGGACGTGCCACTGAGTATTTACCGGGACATGTGGTTTCAGCATGATGGCTGCCCAGCGCACTCTCAGTGAGAGAGTATCTCGATCAAAACTTTCCAGGCAGAAGGATAGGGCAGTCTAGTACAATACCGTGGCCAGCCCGGTCACCAGATTTGAATCCGTTAGATTTTTTTTACTGGGGAACTATAAAAGAAAAAAGTGTATTTCAAGCCGATTCAAAATGTAGCTGAGCTACGGCAAAGACTATTGGAAGCAGCTGAGTTTATTAATAACCGTGGATTCGCTCGGTTAATAACCCGATCTTTTTTAAGAAGATGTCGAGCGTGTATTGCGGCTGAAGGAAAACAGTTTGAGAATTTGCTGTAAAGGTAAATCATCAGCAGCAGCATTTTGACGCCCACTGTTGTGCAAACAGTTATCCTTAAGGGTCCTTGTGCGTTTTCATAATCGCTGTTTAATTAGGAAATTTTGAAAAATTTTCATCAGTTTTTATTCAAATAAAAATTGTGCATAAGTTAATGAGTAATCTTCTAAGTGTTATACCATTTTGGAATCCTTATTAAATGCGCCAACTTTTAAGGTTACTTGCCAAACTCTCGTAGTACATTTTTTCCAGTACAGCCACTTAAAGTTGAGCAAAGTTTTACTTTGGAATCTTGGTTGGGAAATAAGTGGCAATTTTTCCTGAACGAGAAAAGTTGGCAGTAAGGTTGAGACACCAGTTTGAAGATGCATTATTCATCATTACATTGTAAAAATAGAATCCAAAAAAAGTTAATATTTGTAGTAACAGGAGTTGACAGACTGCCGTAGGGTGTGAAATTTCTATATTTTTTTCAAAGACCTATAATTTTCAAAACACATACATAAAATTTTTTTAAATATTTTTCTGATAGCTGTTATAACTTTGCCTATCACCCGGTTTCGGCTTGACGTCGACTTCTGGGACACCCTGTATAATGGGAACACAAGCAAAGTGAACATCTAGAAAAGTCCACGTGCTTATTTGACTACCTGACTGCAAAATGCATGTTTTCAACAAAAAATTGATTTTGCAATATAAGTGTAATTAGATTTCTATACTATCTATTCAGATAATATATTTTTTTTTTAATTATTAGAAGATACTGTCAAACAAAGTTTTTGTTGTTAGCGTATTTAAAATTGGTATTTTGATGCATATGCCTTCAACATAATCGCTGTGTCAGTCGGTAATTCTACATTGTAAACACTATTAGGAAGTTTGCACCTCATCCAATTCCTTACCTTGTTTATAACTCTGGTCCCGTTAAAACGTTTGACGAATTCCTCAGGTGTCGCTACCGTAAAATTCCTCTCTTCGATCCTATTTTGTTGCATAACCGTCCCTTGGGACATACTAGGCCTGCAACAAACACGCATTACATCAGTTCAGTTATTCCTTATCTAAAGATATCGGATATTTAGAAAAAAACTGTTCAGATTAGACACACTTCACACTTCGAATAACTGGTTTGTGTGTGTATATAATGTATATGAATGCGATTCTACCTGCAAAGAAACTGACAAAAAAGATGCCATCCTGGTTTCGAATACGTATGAATTTTAAAACCAGTAAGGTGTTTGTGGAAAAGTACGTAAGAAATAAATAAAAAGCTTATATGTTTTAGTGTTATTTCTAACCATACTGCCCTATGGTATATTCTGTTAGACAAAATTGCCTTTTCAATAGATGAACTAGTATGTAATCTCGACCATATCTCGGAGATGTCTACGCAATATTGCTAGCAATGTTTATAAAAATTCACTTTCAGAATTTGTCAGCATGCGGTTAGGATCAGCGCAAGCGCTAAGAAAAGCAAATATTGCGTATAGTATGTTTTAGTTTTTTTTTAATTCGGTTGCGAGTGTAAATGATGAGCTCTGTACATACCAAAATAATTGGGAATACCATCCCGCCTTGTCTGATATTCGAATATTGTCGCTATCACAATAGGTACTCTTATAATATGTGGGAAGTAAAAAGCCCCAGTATTATAACATCCAGAACTCCATTCGAATCGATGTAGCTTCATTGGAACTATGTGACACCAAATGCGACAGACCCATTAAAACCCAAAAAATTGTAACTTCAAGAACGATAAATTTAGCGACGATGTATATGAATAACCTGCTATTAGCGAGTGTTTCGTTACTTTTTAATTGGTTACAACGAATATATGTGAATGCTAGTTACTTTTCTGTTTTTTACATACACAATTTTATATCTAGTCGTGTTTAATTAAGGAAGGAAACTTCTTATCTTCTTAAATAGATAAAAACCGCAATTATTTAAATAAAATAAAATATTTTAGACTTCCTCGTAATTTTTGCCACAGTATTTTCAAAACCAAACGTGGCCTTATTGTTGAAATTTTTATGTCACTTACAATGTTGTGATGCCTCTTGTTTATTTACATCAATCTGTATTCTATTGCGATACGTATATGCAACATAGTATTTCGGTTTATATGTATAAGCCGAATAGTTACAATAATATGATCAACTAAAACTGATTACATAGAAATAAAAAATTATGCTAAATTTACTGTTGATAACGTATTTCGGATAATCCGGATTCATGGAATTTCGTATGAAATCCTCAGAGGAATAACTAAAACGCTGAAATTTTGCATGGTGGTAGTTGTTTATGTTAAGAATAAAAATAACGTCAAGTAAGTTGATCCGCACTTCCTAAGCAACGCTTTGAAAAACATTGGCTAGGAACATGTATAACAAAGGAATTGAATGCGATCTAATCTCCCGCACAGCACCGACCATCCAGCTCGCAACCCAGCACGGACTTATACTAGTAACGGGTGATTTTTTAAGAGGTATAGGATTTGATTTAAAAAAAAAAACACAAAAAATTTGAAAAAACGATTAAATCTTAATTTGAGTGGATAGAACGGTCGATATAATTTAATGTTTAAAGACTATTTCATGTAAATGTTGGCCGCGGCTCCGCTTTAGATGGCCCATGCGCAAGGTCCAATTTTGGCACACTCTCTCCAACATATCGGCCGGTATCTCAGGAATAAATGCTTCAATATTGGCTTCCAGTGCGTCAATCGTTGCTGGTTTATCCCTGTAGACATTAGCCTTAACATGGCCCCACAAGAAATAGTCCAACGGCGTTAAATCACACGATCTAGGCGGCCAATTGACGGGCCCCAAACGTGAGATAAACTGTTCACCGAACTCGCCTCTCAATAGGGCCATTGTTTCGTGTGCGGTGTGGCATGTGGCACCCTCTTGTTGAAACCACATGTCAGCCAAGTCCAGCTCTTCCATTTTGGGCAAAAAAAAGTTTGTTATCATCGCACGGTAGCGCTCGCCATTCACACTTACGTTCGGGCCATTGTCGTCTTTGAAAAAGTACGGCCCGATGATGCCACCGGCCCATAATCCACACCAACAGTGATTTTTTCGGGATGCATTGGTAGCTCTTGCAATGCTTCTGGCTGGTCTTCACTCCAGGTGCGGCGATTTTGCTTGTTAACGTACCCATTCAACCAGAAATGAGATTCGTCGCTCAACACAATTTTTCGATAAAAATGGATCTTCCTCCAACTTTGCCAGCGCCCATTCACCAAATTGGAAACGTTGTGGGAGGTCGTGTGGCTTCAATTCTTGCACCAGTTGTATCTTATAAGGTTTTACACCCAAATCCTGTCGCAAAATTATCCACGTAGTGGAGTAACAGAGGCCCAATTGCTGCGAACTGCGGCGAATCGGCATTTCAAGGTCATCACTAACACTGGCAGATACAGCCGCAATATTTTCTTCAGTCCTCACTCAACCTCTGCATGTTGGTGGTTTAATGTCCAATAATGTAAACTGGGTTCGAAATTTAGTCACAAGCTTCCGAATAGCTCCCTCAGTAGGCCGACCAAATTGCCCATAAATTGGAGGCAGTGCTCGATGCACTCTCTTAACCGAGCATGAATTTTGATAGTAAAATTCAATAATTTGCAAGCGTTGTTCGTTCGTAAGTCGATTCGTGGTTAAATTATAGACCAAACTGAACAAGTTTGACAATGACACAAGACACGATTCACGCGTCATCTGTCAAAAACAGTGTTGCCCTCTCGATTTTTTTACTGGAGATGTTTAAAAGATTAAATCTATGGGAAACCAGTTCGATCAGCCGATGAACTGTGTCATCTATTTCGTCAAGCAGCACCCGAAGTATCCGATTTAAGTTTGAGACGTTTAAAAGAGTTGGTGGTAAATATTTTGAAAATCTGTTGTGAAAATAATAATAATAATAATAACGATAATAATAATCATTTATTTCAGGCAATATTCACATTACAAGATGTTAATTTAATTTTAATTTAGTTAATTTAAGATTATACAGGGTGTCCTCAAAGTTGGGGTTTTCCTTTTCAGAAACAACTACCCTTGAAATAACAAAGGTGATGTGTAGTGAAACGAGGGCGACCAAGTAAAAAAAAAATAAAGGAAAAAGTACTCACTCTCCAGTTGACGAGAAGGGCTAAGTACGTCTCTGCCCGAAATCATACCGCTCCAACAGAAAATGAAATCAGCTGATGCGCTACCGAGCAGACGGAGGCAAACAAGGGAGGCAAAATGTTGCGTAAAAAGTCTAGGTATTGCATCCCGTCCAATCGATTTGGGAGAATAAATGGTCCAATGAGCATACCGTTCACCATGCCAGCCCAAACATTCACCGAAAATGTTTGTTGAACGGACAGCGTGCGGATTTTCTACTGACCGAACATGAGTGTTGCGAAAGTTATTCACCCCATTACGCGTGAACGTAGATTCGTCTGTCACCAATATGCACTTCAAAAAGTCCGGATTATTGTCATGTTGATGCAACAACCACTCACAAAACCGCACTCTTGCTGGAAAATCGTCAAGTTGAAGGGCTTGTACACGTTTGACGTGAAACGGATACAGCCCCTCTTCACGCAGCGTTTGCCACACTTTAGTTTTTGATACTTGCACTTCTCTAGCCACGTCTCTAGTGCTTGTTGAGGGATTCTCGTCTACGCGATTACCTCTACACCGGTGACCGTAACCGTCGGTTGAAGGTTGCAGACTGACCTGACACACTGACCCCGACCCAGTTCTGTCGTCGGGTTGAGCTAGTGTCCTAGTACCAGTCGGGGATGTCGCGGCTACAGGACGGTATTCAGATATTTTTGATGTTGCAGAGCCCTTTATCTCGGTTCCCTTAAGACATTGGTGTATATGGTACTAAGAAAAATTGCTTCTGTTTTCAAGATCTACACGTCGTGTAAAGGAAACCCCCAACTTTGCGGACACCCTGTAGATATAATAACGATTCTCAATTCTTTATTTGATTTGAATGTTGTAAAAATCAATGGAAATAAAAAAAAATACAACCTAATGCTCTGTTTATTATTTTGATGCCTGCATATAACAATGAATTAAAAAGGATAATGGATAGCTGTTTTAGACATTTGCTAAAATAAACAGCCATTACAGCAACTACAAAGTTGTAATCTGGACACAAAAGACAGCAGCATTTATTATTTTTTATTTGTAGTATTTCCAAGCATTACGACTCCAATGACAAAAGTTGGAATTATTCAGTTTTTAGTAAAAAAAACAAAAAATATATTATTTTTGAAAAAGCATTAAACAGCTAGTTTTTAAGGTCATGGCTAATTTAGTCTAGTAGTAGTAGTAGTAGTAGTAGTAGAAAGATTTATTTAGCACATTTGGCTACATAAACAGAACAATTGTAAACAACTTAGAACTAGTAAATTCAAGCCATATGGTGTATGATGTAAATGCTGGGCAACCTATAATTGTAGATTTAAATTTTGTCAAAGTTTTCTGGTCTTTTATCTCCGAGTATAATTTATTATATTCAATCAACCCTTGATGGAATACAGATTTGTAGCATATGTTATACTTTTTGGTCATTAAATGGAAGTCATCTTTATTTCTGGTATTATGTAAATGATGGTCGACATTTGATGATGTTAAATTAGTTAGACTTGATGGAAATATATTATTTTTTACTTTATAAATGAATATCATTACAAGATATTTGATAAAAATTTTTACATTGAGCCATTTTAATTTGCTAAGCATTTGCCTAATTGGAGTATATTTATCTTTATTTAGTATTATTCTCATGCACTTATTTTTTAAAATTTGCAGTCTTTCAAAAATGGAATTATTTGCTAAATATAGAATAGTCGAACAGTACAAGAAATTTGGAAGAATGATGGTATTATAGATAATTTTTCTGCTATATGAACTCAGACATCCAGAAACTCTCGATAAATATCCCACTTTACTACTAATCTTATTTATAACTTTTTCATAATGAATATCAAAAATTAATCGAGAGTCAACAAA